GAATATAGATATACATTTTTGACCATATTAACTAATAGTATAACATGGTATAAAATGCTGTTTGAAGAACTTTTTAATGTTTACAGTAAAAAATAATTAAATAATTCATAATAAAACATTTTCATTTTACTAAAAGCATTATTAGATTATCATAAGAAAATTTCTAGTTAATTTTGTGCGAGTTTAAAATTTTTAGTTGAAAAAAATAAATAAGCAACCGATTGTTGTCACGCGATCAGCCGGAAGGGTAAACTATCATAAATGGCTAGATGTTCTAAACTTTATCTAAGCAACGATTATATAATAATATGCAATGTTCATTTATTTATTTTTACAGTTAACAATTTTCAAATTCATCAGTATAAACATTTATACATTTTTTATGAAAATAATACTCTTTATCGATAGTAATGCATTTTCAATAAATAAAATTGATTTATACCTACAACTAAAATTAAGTTATGATAAATTCATATCATGTTTAAAATGTTCACATCACATCAAAAAAAGCTAATCAAAACTTCCAAAATAGTTACCCTTACCACTTAAGTAATCATAAGATAAAATTAGAATATTATTATTATTATTTTAAAATTACAAATGTAATAGGCAATTTAAACCATCATATCACTGAATTCTATTTTAAGAACAAATTTCGTTTTAATAATTAATTTAGTTATATCTTCATCAAATTAAATACGAGTATGTATTCAAAACCTACATCATTTTTCTGGTAGCTTGGAGTCAATATGAAAATTTGTGTGAAATAACTTATGAAACGTTTAACATACCATCATCACATATCTATGATACATTGCTAATTATTTTAGTTAGTTTATATATGTTGCATTCACTTACTGTAATTTTAGTTTTCATGAAATGGATATCTATTTCATAAACTTAGATCATATCGTGTATGTCATTTTTATGCTCATGTAATGGACATTTATTTTGTCAATTTCGTGAAATGGAAACCCATATTTTACACTTTATGTATTTTTTTATAATTTTTACACTGAATGGATACATTTTTGTAAAATTTAAATATAATCAAAATATAATATTATGTAATTACATTTCTATATTTAAAAAAAAAAATGGTATTACAAATACTTTGAATTATTATGATTAGCTATTATTTCCATTATTTATTATTATAATTTGATATATTATGACAACAACTATTGCAGAAGCTAAACAGAAGCTTTAAAGCAAGTTTATCTATTAGTTACACATTGTCCTTTACACACACAACTAAGAAATTCTTGTCCTCTCAAAATTTAAGCAATTGTTTCGCGTAAAATTATAACTCTGCCATAATAAACCTCATTGTTTTAAAAAAATAGATATTGCAAGCATTATACAAAACTTTACTATCATATTATAACCCATAAATAGTGCCAATTGGTAAAGCATATATTAATTTTTATAGATAGTTACAGAATCAGATGATCCTCAGTCTATTTTAGATATAGCTATCAAAACATAATCACCAATTTTAAAACTGAAACATATCACTCATATCCTTAAATTCACGATTAACAGAATTTACAAATTCACGTCCAATACCATTTTGAAGTATTTTTAGAGCTCCAAATGTAAAAAATAAATCTAGTAATTTACTTGCCATTTCAATAGCCCATTTGCTTTCAAATATACGCAACAGTTATTACAATTATTTGTTATTACAACATACAGCTGATATACCCATTAATATGATATAAGTTTGAAGTATCAACTATATAATTTCATTGACATTATAATAAAATTTCATTTAATGTAAGACCTAAAAAAATACGTAAAATGTAAAATACTGATTGGACAAAAGAATACGAAATTGATAAAATAAATTTCCATTACATGAACCTAAAAACGACATACGAGTACACGATATGATCTTAGTTCATGAAATGGATATCCATTTCTTATAAACTACGATTATAGGGAGTGGATGCCACATATATATCCAATTAACATTTGAAACCATTATTTTACTACGAAAATATTTTTAAGAGGAGTTTTTTAAATAATTTTATTTTGTTCTATGCAAATATTAAAACTGTATACATACTTATTTTTAAACAGTATAACTTTCAAATCTTGCAGTTTAATATATTTAATTCATATTAATACTCACAGTAAAGAAATGCTGTATATTAATTATTAGCATTTAAATTATTAGAGAAATTGTGTAAAAATGTACAGTACAAATTATACAAAATGTCCACATATTTATATTTAAAATCCACCTACCACCAATCTCATTATTATTTTTTATAAATAAATAATTTCTACGATATTTAGAAACGTCATATATTTTTATAGGCATCGTAAATCATAACATACGCAACATCACCACTAAATAATCATTAAAATTACCACATCAGTCATAAGAAATAGTTAATTAAATATATAAATACAGAATAGACAGGTTTCAATGTATAAAAGTTTAAACATATACAGGTAAATATATAACTAGACAATACGCAAGTTTCAAGTCTTAAAAGCTGTTAAGAAATATAAAATTATTTATAACTACAAAGGCATATGAGATAAGTGGAAAACTTAAAACAAAGTAAAAATGTTTAAGTCAAAGATATTATCTCCGCGTAAGACATATTACCTAAATAATAAAAGTTCAATTTTTTTCATTTTATTTATTATATGAAATCCTAAAAATATCCTATATCATATAGTTTATATGACTTTACAACAACATTTATAAGAATAATAACCCTAGGTATTTAAAACTCAATTCTTATTTTCAATAACTTTCACTTGACAGCTTAAATTTTAAGATGTATAACGAATTTAATTATACCATATATAAGAGGTGTAACTTTATAAATAATCTTCAAGTGTAATTTTGTAAAAACATTTATAAAGGTTTCTTCAGAGTTTTAATACATTTTTTTTTAATAATTTACACACTAATGTGTACGTATAATATGTAATGTGTGTCTCGTATATTATTTTTATACAATGTTTATCATTACATGAGAACACTTATAATTTAAGTATATAAATTTAACTTACGTAAATTAGTGCCACCCAATGAATAGTCACATAATGATGATATTTCTACATTAAACTATAAATTAGTGTGTTTTTTTTTTTATTTATTATCATAATTTGTTTTAAACATTTATTGGGTTAAATAGTCAATAACATATAAGCTCTACATTATACGAGTAGATAAATTAGACATATATTCATTCTACAATTAAAACAATATAATATTATTCTATGTATTGAATATTTTAGGTTCGATTAAAATCATTTTTATAAATAATATCATATTTATGTAACAAACAAACATATATACGCCACCTAAAACTATTATATAGAAACCCACTCATAAGGGTTGAATAACACCCAATTATATTTCCGTAATTCAGTGATAATACATTTTAAATTTACCTGTCACTCATTGAATCTACGAGTATCTCAATTCCAATCTCAAATTAACTACTCCGCTCCTGCTATGGCTCAAAAAACCAAAACTCCAATACCTTCTGGGTTACTTTATTTACCGAAATCGCCTATCCCTGGAAACAACGAATCCCTGTTTACTGTAACACAAGTTGCAATATTCCTTGTTTAAATTTTACGCCAGCCTTCAGACATTATCAAAGTATTTAACAACATTTACAGCCTCAGTCGTTCAAATGATTCAAGCAATGCAAACCCCTAAAGCTAACGTTTAATAAATATTGCATTTATTTTTAAATAATAATACAATTTTCCTTGCATCGAACATATATATATTTGAATACATTTTGATATTTTGTAGACATATGAAATAATTGCTTATTATGGTATTAACATAACTTTAATGAGACTAAAAACAATTCTTCGCACTCATCTTCTAATAGTCTTACTTGTCCAATGCATAATTGCTCAATTAATTAATTTCCCATTTATTTTCAGTTGCATAATTAGAATGCGATAGATGTAGCGAATGTATAATAAGTTTTATTTTCAGAACCAGCCACCCCTTGAACTTTTATACCATTCTTTGCTGACGTGACAATCGCACGAAAATATTCTTAAAGAGGCAAGCCGCTAATACATGGTAGAATCGGTCTTATCCGCAGCTAACATTTATATATTATACACATATTATTATACATTCGATTTTACAGAATGTTAATTGAGAAGTCAATCCCTATAACTCATGATCTAATATGAATATTTAAATGGAATTTGTTTTTAATGTAGTATTTAATTATGATTCATCTTATACAATGAAAAAACAAAAATATAAAATCTTTCAAATTATTAAAAATTAAAAATGTATAAATATTTTATAAATACCGAGATAAGTAGTAATTTATACATAATTATTAAGATACATTAAATATTATTATTAGATATAGGTATACATTTCATTTCATTTATTTTCATATTTACAAAAAATTTGATGAACTAGACTTTAAGACTTGATCGACATGTCATCTAAGTAAAAGTTCAGACAAATGTATTATAGACATGCCAACCCTGTTCTATAATATATAAAGTAATTATTGCTAATTATCTAATAAACATACATTGTACGTAATATGCTTAAAAACCTTGCATCGATAATTCTAAATTACGTCCCAAGTTTAGAGCTTTAGAAGGAGTGGGGGCTGAGTGCACAGCATACTTGGTTAGCTCACTATTTTTGAAATTAATTTTGCAACAAGCGCAGAGAAATGTATTTTATTTAAGTGTACACATATTAAGTGACAAGAAGAAAATATTAAATGTTTTTCAAATTTTAATAAGCAAAAAAATTAATAATTCTGTTAATTTTGTAACACAGTTTTTTCCACCAAATATCTAACCTGAATCTGCTCATGGATAACGGTCAATATTCTTATTATAGATTTAATATACTATTATAAATATATGAACGTACACTAATAAAAATAATTTAGGTAATAATAATGTATAGTAATAAAATTGACATTCTATTTGTAGAAGTATCAAAGTACAATAAAGAAAACCCTTCTTACCGGTAACCAAAAGCATTCGAAAACCGATTTTCAAATTCATCATGAAATGATCGTTGACGTTTAAAATTATTTCGTTCTTTTTTTTCAACAAATCAACACAAATACTTTCAAAATCGTAAACAAAATTGGAAAAAAAAAAGTCCACTCGGTCCGATAGCTAAAACGTTGTATCACGAGCGTTTAATAGATTCTATCCGTTTCACATGTCAAGGAAAAAAATATCGTCAAAAGTCCCATCATAAGCGAGAATAGTTACCGGGCGACTGCGAAACCGAACGACAAAACGCGTATTTAACGAATTGGAACGTCCACTACCACGCGACCCGTTCAGACGAAAACTGAACGTGGTCGTAACAGTCGAATCTCTGGCAGTTACCCGCGCCCGGTTGTCACGCGCGCTTGGCGCAGCGGAGGCGTCTATGAACCGCGGTAACCTACGTAACCATGATAACGTGCGTACGGCAATCAAATCGTGATAACCGTTTCGTCGAATAGCAATAAGTAGCAACACGCCTATGCGTTGTTGGCCCGCTATCCGACGTTTGTAATTATTTTTACGGACTATTGGCGCCACAATCGTTGGTATTTGACGAAAATTTCTTTGCTTCTATCGACAGTTGAAACGTTTCACGCCATCGTTGTTCCACTTCCCTCGTACAATCTGGTCTGAATCGAAGAACTTGCGTTATGGACGAACAACTAACAAATTTGCTGTTTCCAGACGGAATACCAGGTAATCGGGAGGCCATATACTAGAATCCCGGTCAATAATACTCTATTATTATCTAAATTACGTTCTACGTTAATGATACATCGGAATCACTATTAAGTAGCTAATTACACCGGATTTTATGATTCAAAATGGTTTAATGTTTTCGGGCTAATGTGTTGATAATATTATCAGTATTAGTCCTTTTCCTGACATAATTGGCTAGTTACTAGCCGCTAATGTAATATTATGCAGTATGCAGTACTTTTTGTCTGATAGAATATATATTGATGATATCTTCAATTTTCTATCATCTGTTATTCCTTAAATCTATAAATACAGTCGACTTATCTTTATGTGCAGCTTATAATATTAATTTTCTCTTTTTTATCAATATCATATTGCATTTTTTCATTTTCAAATTAAATAATATATACTTTTCTGTCCAATAATTGTTTAGTTAAATTACATAATTTATTTTTTGTTTATTGATGATAATACTTATATTTGGTTATTATCCTTATACATAGTATACTTAATAACAATCCATATTTTTGTAATTTATTTTATTTTTCAGATGATTTAATAAATGACCCAAATATTAAAAACTATATGGATCATCTTGGAATGTGTACTGCTGAAGAATTAAGTTTGTGTTCATTAATTATGTTTATCATTATCTTGTATATAACTAAGTTTTTTTTTTTGTTTCAGGTAAAGAACATGGGTCATTAAGAGATAAAAATACTATAATTTTAAAAATGATTAAAGACTTGGCATTAAATAACTACAAAACGTTTGTTAAAACTTCACAATGTTATGAATTAATTTATAACAAATTTGATGATACGCAGCAAAAAACTATTGTACTAGATAGTTATTTATTAAAACTCAAAACCGAATGTCAAGAAATGTTACAGCAATGGGCAGATGTTAAAGAAAAACGCCATCGTAATACATTAGCTATGGTTTGGAACTCCCGTATTATGCATCATGCTCTTGAACTTCCGCAGCTAATGCTGTCATGTATACAAAATAAACTTTATGAAGATGCACTAAAATTGGCCGATCATGCTAAATATTTACCTAATAATATACCAGCTGTGAAGGTACTGCTACTATACCAACAATAACCAATATAAATTTCATACTTTATAATTATTATTTTTTATCTTAGTTGTTACATGATGAAGTAAATAAGTATCGTTTGACGTTGATGTCTTCTCTTTGTCAAGAATTAAGAACAGATTTGGAATTACCACAATGTATGCGAATTATAAGACTATTAAGAACTTTAAATCAAATAAATGAAGAGCAACTAGCTGTCAAATTTTTGCAAACTAGAAATTCATGGTTTAATTCTAAGTTAGAAAATATTCCTAATGAAAGCAGTAAGTTATAATATTTCTTTTAAGGTTTTAATAATATTTTTCTATCAATGATGAATAAGAACTATTGTATTTTGTATGATATATGGTTTATAGACAGTCAACACCTCTTAAAAACTATTGAGGTATCACGATCTTGTTTTTCAAATATAGCAACACAATACAACCTAATTTTTTGTTCTGAAGATTACACTTCTGAAATTCGATCAGCAAAACTACAATTTTATTATTCATGGGCTAATCAAAAGGTATTGATAATATAACATCTCCAATTAATTTTTATTTAATTACAAATATGTCTATTATGAATTTCAGGTATGTCAGTTTATTAATATTTTAAAAAACGATCTTCCATATTGCCGCCCATCATCATTAGAAACAATTTTCACTCAATGCATGTATTTTGGTCAATCATTGGGTCATATTGGAGCTGATTTCAGAGGTCTCATAGCACCAGTATTTGTCAATATTACTGTCAAAAGATTTTCTGACTTATTAAAGATGACAGAAATTACTTGGCAAACTGATTTACAGACATTTTTAAAAACAAATATTAAAAATGTTAGAATGAACCAAACTCATGATGAAGTAAGACAATTATTTCAAGACAAACTTTAGAATAATATTTTAATCTGAATTTTATTAGGTAGACGATATACCATCACCTGTATTTGAGTATTATCCTTTGGCAAAATTTTGTAATGGTGTAATGAGTGCTCTTAACGACCTTGGAGAATATGCTCCATATGCAGCTGCTGATGAAATCACTAAATGTTTACATACCACATTACACAATGCTTCCTGCTCTTTATTTTCTATGTATTATCAAGAAAATTTTAAAGCCTATGATGAAGTAAATATATGTTACATATTTATATATTACTATTATAACAATTTTTGTATGATGGTAATATGATTTACAGTAAAACTTGCTTAAGACACTCCAGCTTATGTACTTTGCCACATAAAACGCTGTTTTTTAATGGTCCCTTGATATTTTCTTTACTAGTCAATGTAAAAACTACCTGTAAATACACTTGGTTCTTCTCTATCTTATCAGATAAGACACTCTTTTGTTCAGCAGATTATAATACATTTTAGTAATAATTACTTTAATTAGTAATAATTACTTTAATGTATCATAATCTACTGTGTGTAATAAAAAAATGTGTATTAATAAAAATATAAATTTTACTCATATCAGTTTATGTATCGTGTTAAATGTTTTACTTGCTGAAAAAATATTGAGTTATATTAACAAAATAGATACTTTTATCAATAACAAAATAGAAAAATGAATAATAATTTGTATATAAATTGATTATATGTTCAATAATAAAAATATTAAAAAATATGTAAACAATTTCAATTAATTTTTATTTTCAATCCCCACTTAAGATTCTCTAGTAAGCTGGTCTTCCAAGAGTGTCTAAAGAAAGTTTTCCTATAATTAAAATGTTAAATTATTAATCAGTTTATAAAATGTTTAATTTAAAACAACATATTATGTTTTGAGTGCTCAATATTAAAATGTATTTCCAAGTATTAACATTATAGTATTACTTTTATTATATAAGACAACTTCAATAGACTAAACTAGTTTTAATTAATTTTTCTTTTTTAGGGTGACAAAAAAATATTTGGTCGACTTTGCATCTGTTTCTCCACAGATGTTGTACCATATGTACAAAGATGTTTGCATAAAGTTTATGAACCAGCTAGTATTGCTGCATTCATTGGGGTAACTACAACATCACTTCAAAAAGAGGTAATGCCATGAATATATAATACATATAATTATAATTCAAGTAATTTTTTAGTAATCTTCAAATTAGTTGAATTGTAATGCTATAGTATTATATTTTTTAAGACTTCTTTAATAATTTCTTCTAACATAGTAATTACGTAGACATAAGTAAATTTCACTTAAGATTAGAGGATTATATTACTAAAGATCTAGGAAGTATAGAAGCTGGAATACAATGTAGAGAAACTGCAGAAGATAGAGACAGATAGAGGAAAATATACTTGGAGGGCTTGTCTTAAAGGCTGTTACCACTAAAAAAAAAAGCTACAATAACCCAAAAGATATTGTATTTTTCACCATTTAGTTTTTAATAATGTTTCAATTACTTATATAAATAAATAAATAGTTTATATATATAAACAACTTATAATATTTTCAGAACCTAACATATATAGATTCAGAAATTATTAATGAACCTATCAAAGAATTATTGGATGAATTTGAAAACATCACTCTGATTGATAATAAATCAACAGATGAAACACTATAAGCTATTGTACTAGTTGAAGCATTTATTTTGTGATATTATGAAAAATGATTAAAGTTTATCATTGTATAATTTTGTTTTAAATTAATTTAACTAATTTATAATTTTATATATAATATTTGTAATCAATTGTTAACCTTGGTATTATTATTATTATTATTATATTTATTTTTATTATATTATTCTTATTTTGTATTTCATTAAATGTGTGTGTCAAAAAAAAATTAACAACTACTAAAGAAACAAATATTATTAATTATCAACTTAGTGGCAATTTACTGTGGCATTAGGTTTTCGGTTATTTGTATGCCAATATTAGGTCAAATAATAAATAATGTTATGTAGATATTCAGTAATTTTACAATGTGAATCAATACTGTTAGTTGTATGGACAGTTTTAATTTTAAATCTAATTAAATAGTTCAAAAAGAAATTAAACTAAAAGTTATTTACGATAATTAAAATAAATTCTTTCATTTTTCTTGTTAACTATTGTTAACAAAATATAATAAATTAAAATTTTTATATGTTATAACTAAATACCAAAAAAATATTCTATTATATCATTCTATATTCAACAACAAAATTTAAATAATATGTAGGCACTTCATACAGTTATAAACCATCGTTGTTATTGCTTTTCTGGATTATCAAAAAATATATATATATAAATATATTTATCAACGAAATCAGATTATAAATAGTTATCACTTCTAAGTAGGGTTTTATAAATACTTGTTTATTATTTGGATGAGAAAAAAAATCATCGATAGTTTTTAAATTATTTATACTAAAAAATATATATTAATATTTATGAACTCTCTGAAATAAAATTTCTAATTTGAACATCTGTAGGCTGTAGTATAATAAATTATTATTCATAACTAATAATTAAAATTGCACATTGAACATAGGTATTTTGGGACAATTACTATTATGTATGCTACATCAAAGACACTACATAAGTACTTTGTGCACATGAATGTGGATCGCTATCTATATAGTAAATTTTATTCATACTCTATTTTCACATTGATGCAACTATAGCAAACAGCAAATAGTATTATATGAAAATTGTTTACACGACTATTTTGTATCATTATTATTTCTGTATAATGCATCATTATACGATTAATTCAATTGCTGTAGATTATCAATAATGTATAGGTACTTTTGTAGTCTTCACTCTGTATATAGTCTACTATAATTTGAAACGTGTGTTATACAGTCTTGTAAAAAATACTTTTGAAAAAGTATTAAGATACTAATACTAGTATTCGAATAAAAAAGTATTAAAAATACTTTTAAATTACTATTATAAAAATGTATTTTACGAATACTCATTAAGTATTTGAATATTAATACAAGTATTTTTTTTAATTTTGTGCTATATAATATATATCTAATAGTCGAAATTCCTCAAGTGGAGAGATGCCTTACAATTCAGATTTCCTGATATCATCTTAACATTCTTCACACTTTGTGTACCTTAAATATTTTATTTTTTTTTATTTTTTATAGTTCACGTAAGGTATATTATCTTAGTCCGTGGTTATAAACACGGGTATAATACGGGTTGCAAAACGGCTTATACTAAACAACACGATAAGCCGGGCGCCCGGGCCTGAATGTTAAAAATAATTATTTTTACCGAAAAAAAATAATTTCTTATATATAAATATAAAAACGATATTAAGTATATCATTTTAAAATACAATTTTTAGGAAAAATTCGTTATTCTAGACAAAACAGAGGGATAAAAACTATAAATACACAAAAGTGGAAGGATGCCATACCTCCGTATCCCCCCCCACTTAGAGCACTGTGATTATGTACATCGTACACCAGTACCTATAAGTACCTATTATGTTACTACTTTCCATAGGTTTTAACAATTACTATAACATGTTTGACTATTTAGAGATAAATACATGTTCACATATTTCATTCTGTATTCAAATATATTTCAACTAATATTGATTAAATTTTAATGAAAAAATAAAATAAAAAGTGGTATTAACTTACTACTAATATGGAACTATTTTAAAATTATTAGATTTTCAGTTTTCTTAAAAATTTCCAATACAGAAACTATATAAAATTTAATGTGGTATTTAGTGTAGTATCTTTGTTAATATCTACTTTTACTATACAAAAGCATAATATTAGTTTTCAACAAAAACAATATTATTTTTATTGATGTCAATTTTTTTTTTTGAAAAATAATAAATTAAAATTAATAAAACGGACTTCATGGTATTTTAATATAAGTATTTAAATTTTAGTAAAAATACAATTAAAAAGTATTCAAAATACTTAAAAAATACATAAAAAATTGTATTTAGAATACCATATAAATACTTTACAAGACTGGTGTTATAATGTATTAGTATCTATTTTAAAATTACATTGTTGTATTAATATTACTTTTTGTATAATCGTTTTTATGAAAAAATAATTTACATTCTATTATAACAATAACTTCTTTAATATCTAACTAGAACAGAAATTAAGGAATGAAAAATGTTTTCTATTCTTAAAGATATACAATCCAAGGCAACTGTAATTTACCAATATTCTATTGTAATAAGGTATATTTTGCATGATAGTGTAATGATGTGCATCATTCGACTGTAAAAGACAGCACAAATATTTTATTATGTATACTATTTATATGTACGTTATTTTTAAACTTTTTCAAATAAATAAATAACGGTATCTTCGATACCCGCGTAAACGACACGGGTCGAACAATAAATACTATTGACATCCCTACATTCAAAGGACAGGCCCAAGGTCTATGCCGCCGCATGTGCCTATATAACAAGGACTCACACCACCCTTTCCCAGAAAGTTCTTGATCTTAGGTCGTCATTGCATGCGCACTGATCATAAGATCAACGACGAGCTTATACATGCGATTTATTTTGACTTATTTAAGTTTAATTTAAATAAAAAAATATTAAATTATTTTTATCCGTTCGACTTGTGTTCTTCGTACGAGTGTTGAAGAGTATCCGGTCCTAGTGCAATTAAATTCTGTATTTGTCCTTACTTTTTCAACCTCGCATCGACATCAGAAGGTCTACGGCTAAATAATAAATGCTACTTTATTTAGCTTGGCAAACTGCATAATTATGCTGATCGGCTCTCGAACACTCAACCCAGAGAGCCCTCCCTTAAACAAGGAGGAAGGTATCAACCCATTAATACCTCACCGCCATTCACATATATATATATACTATCTCCCTCATCCTTACATCTCACCCATTATCTTCTCTTATATTATTTTTTGTATTTTTGGGTTATTACAATAGTATAAATGAAAAGTTAGTAGCTATAAAACCATGCTATGATTCAAATACAAAAGGAATAACAGAACTTATTTTGAAAACTCTTCAAAAATATTAAAATAATGTAAAAAATTGAATTGGAAATTCAACTGAAATTTTGAGCTGTTAATTGACAAGGGTAGTATAAAGGATGACAGAATTTTTAACAAAATCTACTATTGAAGTACAATTATGATGTCACAGTCATATATTGAATTTAATACTATTAAGAAAAAAATCAAAAACAATTACAATTAATTGATGAAACTTGATGTAAGAACAAACCGCTTTTAAACACATTTTTGGTAAATATAGAAATCCAACAGATTCAATGTATCCATGCCTCATTGTAGCATTTTCTAAAACAATTAATAACCAAAAATTCAACTACGATGGATAAGTAAAGGCATAAAATTTGATAAGTTCGCTGTTAAAATATGATAACATCTTGACAGCTCATATTTTTTTAAAAATGTTTAGTATAACTGGTCCACTGTTAAAATTATCCTCAAATTAGCGGCATAGACTTACTCAAATGTTAATAGTTAGTAAAGACAGCATTAAAAAAATTAGAAACAATGAGATGTGGAATGGAAAAAAAAGAGTAATGAATGAGTAAGTAATTGATTGGGCAAATAATAAAATAGATCAAATTATGGACGATGAAGAAAATAATAAATTTAAGAACTATTGAAAAATTGAAATACGTTTCAGAAAAAAAAAGAAAATGCCTAGTGAAAATTTAGATGATAATCCCATTATAGATGTAGGAACAAAAATGTACAGCTTTTTTGTTCCATAACCCGGTACATAACTATGTAATGGATATAGTAACTGAAAGAAAAACATCAAGATTTTCTAATAATAGTGAATTGTTGACATAAATGGGCCTTTTGTTACTTATGCAATTCTAAGCTCATAAGAAAAAATGAACACATCAAGTTTTTAAAACTTTATTAAAAAAGATATTGAAATTTATCAATTATAAAACTGAAGATGAAATTTATAATCAAATTAATGAAGAATTAATATATTTTTCAAATAACTGGGACTTTTTAAAAATGTCGATTGAAAATAAGTGTGAAATAATGAATTGGGAGCTGGAAAATGACGAAGATGATATCGAATATGACTCTGAGAATATAAGTTAAATTCCATAGTTGTAAAAACTGTTTAATGTATTGTTACAAGTTATTGATAAAATACGATTTGTATGGTAAGTATTATCTGTTGCTTATAATTAGAGTACGAATTTTGAAATCGTTTGTTTTTTTTTTTCTATTACTCTAAAACAAAGCTATATCAGCTACAAATTCGATTTATACTACTTAGAATAAAATACGTTTTATAACTAACTTATAATATAAAATATAAGGGCATTGCAAATTTACAAATTAGCGTGTAAGCAATATGTGTAATTAGGTTAAGCTAAATATATATAAGAGAGAAGACAAAAACCAATAAAGGAGTTCTTCTATAGTGGTCGTGTGACTCGGCCACGATAGGAAGCTTGTTAACTTTTCTTTAAGTGTTGCCTTAATTTTTATATGTGTTTTTTTTTTTTTTTTTTGTGTCTATACTCGTATGCACAAGTCAATTGGCGTTTACGACAGTCCGGTATTACCATAGACCTGTGAATACCTGCATAGGACGATGTATGGTACCAATTAGTTTCCCGCCATTTGTAAAATTAGAAATAAAATATCGGTACTCACATTTACATTAATACATGTTTAGCATTTGTACATTTATTGAAGTGGAAAACATAAGAAATGGGATAAGAAAAAAATAATGATTGATAATAAACTGAAAAAAAATAGAAAAAACGATATCACCACTGACATTATAGTAAATGTGAGATCTGAAAACATTCTTAAAACATCAAAAAACTACCAGAAAAAGGTGTCCACAATATGTATTAATGTGGAGGATGTCACGTTAGTAGAACGTACTGCTAAAAAAATGAGACGAATTCCAATTCTAGAAGTTTAAATTCAAAGACAAAAATTAGAGGAAAATCAAATCAAGTGGACTAAGTTATATGATTTGAAAGAGATTCCAAAAAGATCCAATATTTATGTGCGTTAGTAGATATAAAAAGGCACTTCAACCACATCTCATGTAACCCTCTACACAGTCAAACAACAAAAACCGTGTCCATACCCTTAAATACTATTCTTAACAATGATAAACCATATTATTGATACAATTCATTTTCTTCGATTTTGCATGAAATATTTGAACATTTTTATGTTGTCATTGTTTGATTTAAGGCTGAAAATAAATTACAAAAAAGCTCAGGTGTGATCTGTATAATATCAATGGTTCATTGAAAAAAAGTACTTACCCTGTTTTTCATAGGTAAAAGTATATCTGATGAGGTTATCTCCACGTGTGAACATGAGAATAGTAACAGAAACTTAACTCTATTGTGCAATTTAGCATGTCGGTGTAAATTAATATTCGAAGAAAGGATTTGGTGCATACGGTGCAGGCATACGTAATAAATCCAGTGAAATAAATCACACACGTGATACAAATTTGTTGAACACTGAAGGAGTGACGAAAAAGCTGAACTTGGAAAACATATATTTACCCTTTAACGACTTGTCAGGTAATGAACTTATATTTAAAATTTATCACCTTATAATTAGTACGATTGAACGATCGTGTGTAGTCGTATATGTTAGTGATTTTCAAAATATATTTGTTCTATCATTCCACAATGCTATGATAAATATTAAACTTCTTTCGTAAAAAAAAAAATATAACACTTAAGACGAAAAAACATAACACAATGTACTTGTGCTATATGAACTTAACACTTTTGATTAATACTGCACTTGTGATTGGGTTATGAAACCCGTTAAATCCAAATAAATAAATAAAATATTGAATTTTTAACGACTTGACACTATGATGGTAGTATAGAGTTTGTTGTCATCGTATGACACGTAACATATTTATATTGAACTTCATGTTATTAGTTTTTTTTAATATCACAATATGTTTTTGTTAGAAAATATGCATTTTTATATTCCTGAAATAAATAGTTTATACTGAATATAACACCATAATAACGATTAAATATGTTTGTAAACTTATAAGCATTTTTACAAGTACATTTTCTTATACAAGGTGACTATTAAGAATTTGATACGACTAAAAACTTGTTAACTATCTATAAAATAAAAAATATATACTAATACACCTATTTTTTATGAAAAATAAAATTTTTAAATGTATACATGAAATATTATTTTAACAATAATTGTAATTTATCATTATTTTAATGTTATATTAGTAACCGCATTGAAATAAACTATGGAGCGCTTTCCTTTGCATATTGACAACATGAATATTATAGGAATTTAAAAACTAGTGCTACCTAATATGAACACTTTTCGGATTCTGCATTGTGATCGTGCATTATGAGTATATATTTATTGCCTCTTTGTGACATATCTAAAGGGCCGAGCACATCAAGAAAAATATTTTCGAAAGGCTTCTTAGCAGTAGAGGTGTTGGATGTTGAATTGGCCTGTTCGAGCTCTTATTACGTTGGCAAGATTGACATGTAGTTATATATTTTTTCACATCTGTTTTTAATCCTTTCCACTGGTGGTGTAGTTTGATTATTTTAATTGTCTTCGACAATCCTTGGTATCCCCCTAGAGGAGAGTTATGAAACTCTTCTATTATCTTGAGTTTTTCCTCTTCTGAATATTCGATGTTTGTGTATATAAATATCTTAATTGCTGAATTTTTAAATACGTACCTAATCATAGCTCGTATTTTTTTTCAGTCTAGATTGTCAAGCCCACTGCCTATTCTGGGTAATCCGATTTTTCCTATATTGTTTTCTTCACAAAATGAACGCAGATTAATGATAGATTTGAAAATGGTTTCTAAGGTGGGTTTATGTTGACAGACTTCTTTTGTGATTATGTATAATAAATATCTTCCATTGTATTGTATATACGCTATTTATGTTACGTCCTTATTTTGCTCCTTTAATGCTTCGATTTGACCAAATTGCGCCTGAATTCGAGTGCTATTCCCTCAGACATTTTGAAATATTTAGAGACACAATGGCCTATTGCCATATTCTCGGGCACCTCAAATAGGTCATCTTGGATTTCAATGACTTTTGTATTGGTAATTACTGTTGTTTGTAAATCTTCGATACATTGCTGATATGTTCTCGATTTATAGTCCACTGGGTGGCGTACATTAACTTGTGCTATTCGACTAAGGGCATCCGAATTTGTGTTTAATGTCCCAGGTTTGTAGATTATGTTATAGTCGTACTCTTCTAACTTCAATCTCCACCTTGTTAGTCTAGCTCCTGGGTCTTTCACCCCGAATAACCAAGACAAAGGTTTATGATCGGTAATAATGTTAAATTTCTGACCATATAGTGTACATATTGTCTGAACTGTTTCACCGCCCAGATTATTGCCAAAAGTTTCTTCTCCGTCGTATTATAGTTTGTTTCTGCCTTATTTAGTGTACGAGATGCGTACGATATTGGTAGATTCGACCCGATTGCTCCTTGAGACAGAATAGCTCCGATCGCGATATTGCTTGCATCCGTGGTGATGTTAAATGGTTGCGCGAAATCCGGGTATTGTAATAGCGGTTTACTTACCAATATATTTCGGAACTGTTCGAAAGCATCCTGGCAAACGTTGGTCCATGTGTATGGTTGGTCCTTTTTTAAAAAATTGGTTAGAGGTTTAGCGATTTTGCTAAAATCTTTGACAAATCTTCTATAATATCCAATTAAACCTAGGAAAGATTTTAGTTCTTTTGTATTAGATGGCGTAGGATAATTAACTACGCAATTGATTTTTTCCGGACCCGGCTGGACACTATTATCCGTTACGATGTGTCCCAGATATTTTACTTCATTTCTTAAAAAATCGTATTTTGGCGATGAAATTGCAAGTTGAAGCTTCTCAATTTAGTGAACACTTCCCTTAGTTGAGTTATGTGTTCTTTTAGTGTTGTACTGATGACTATTATATCGTCTATTTATACAAAAGTTCGAAACCCGTTTACACCTTGCAGAACTCTATTCATTAATCTTTGAAAGGTTGCAGGTGCTCCTTTAAGACCAAAACACATGCGTTGGAATTCATAATGACCTTTCTCAATACTAAATGCCGTTTATTCCCGATCCGTGGGGTCAATGGGAATCTGATGGTAACCGCTCGCCATGTCTAAACACGTAAAATATTTCGATTTCCCAAGCTGGTCCAGTATTGTGGTTATGTCTGGCATTGGAAATGCATCCCCCACTGTTAAGTTGTTAAGTTTTCTAAAATCGACTACCACTCTATATTTCTTGGCGCCAGTAGCGTCTGTTTTCATTGAGACGATTAGTAGAGGTGCGTTCCATGGACTAACACTGGGAACAACGATACCCTCTTCTTCTAGTTGGCTAACCTGTTTCTTGATTTAAGCTTTGTGTGCATAGGGCAGACGATAAGAACGTTGGAATATCGGTTGAGATATTCCAGGTGTTTTTATTTCGTGGTGAACTGCATCTGTACATGAAATTAGGTCTCCTTCAAGAAAGAAGATGTCTGCGAATTAACTACACAGCTGTTCAATTGCTTCCTTCTCTTCTGTATTCATATGTTCGCTTTTTAAAGACCTTTTTAGAAGTTAAATGCGGTTATTAGGGTTTTCATATTTTCTATTAATCTCAGTTTTATTTATGGAGACAATATCAAATATTTCATGGGATAGATTATTAAGATTTAGTATTGGAATAGTTTGTGGTTCATCAATTGAATTCATCACATTTATTATAATTTCTTGATTCTTGACTGTATTTAATATATTCGCGCATAATAGATTTTTATCTATCTCCTGAGCGTGAATAAGTACGATGTTTGGCTATATTTTTGTTGTCTGTTTTGATTGAGATGATTATTTTGCACTTTGCTGGTATTGTGTTTGTGTCGACTGTTGTGGTTGTTATTTCACCCTTGCTGACATCTATGATAACTTGGTTTTCCTTTAAGAAAGGGTTTCCTAGTATACTATCGCCTGTAATCGGATTCTGAATTTACGTTCAACGCCTGTACTTTATTTGTCGCTTATCTCTTGAAACAAAAATCCTAAGCATAGTTTGGGAACTTCCACCGTACAATAATTAAAGTAGTATGATTTAATTCTTGATGTGAATTAGCAATATACATTGTTTACATATACTCGTATCATAGCGTATCTATTTCCTGCGTGACCTTTTTTTAATATTCATTTAACTTTTATTCTTTAACATTAAGTAGTAATTTATTAATTAATGATATTTTATTTATAACCATTACCTTTCACCTCTCGTCTTCATCGCGATTAGTATTAAACACGGTTATTTCATATTTGTCGATTATAAAACTATGAAATTCACACGATAATTTACACAGTTAACACGTTGACAATAATTATAGTAAAATTTTTACAATCATCGTGTGTAGGAAATCGGTTTATAAAAATACTAAGAAGTAAGTACCATTTTTTTTTCTATTTTATACATACGTTTGTTCTGATAAAATAACACAAAATAAATTACATCCTATATTGATTTGATCGGTGAGCCATAGTATACTATCGTAGCTCAGGATTTAATAGGCTTATAAAATATGTATAGGCAAAAAAAAGTCTTATTAAAGGCCTTTGAAGTGTGCCGCGATAAATCTATAAATTGTCTTATAAGTATGTATTTACCAGCTTATTATCGATATTCGATGAAAACTGATCGAACTAATCGCAGATACATAAAATATTATTTATTGTAAGTATGGTTGTCGCAGCCGTCTCGATCGATCGTATTAATATATTTCACAATAAATAACCCTCTGATAGAATAGACTATAAACAGTGTACATATATATAAAATATGGTTCACATAATATATGATGTGCCGCGAAAATTTTGTTGGAGATGAAGTATGCCGCATTGTTAAAAAGGTTGAAAACCACTGGCTTAAAAGATACTAGTGCCGCGATTTCCTGACCTAGGCATTTTACCCTAATCTAATATGGGTTAATATCACTGGGTTGCTTCCCTTCTCACTTGTTCGTGTTTGTTTTGTTTTATGTTATATCGTGTCTGCAAATTTGCTTATTGTGCAAAAAAAATGTACAGATTGTAAATGTTAAATTTTTAATAAAAAAAAATATAAATCGTATAGTTATCATACAGAATTAAATACTAAAAAAATCAAAATAATTTTTTGAAAAAGATAAAAGTTTAATAAAATAATAGTCATATTCATTTACTTTTATTTTTGTTATACTTTAGAAGTAAATTCTAAACGTAACATTTTTCTTTTGTATATTTAATTTTTTGATTACGTATAATTTCATATTTAGACATTGTTTTTGTCTGTTTACGTTGTGTTATTAAAATTGAAAATCAAAATCAAAAATCATGTACTCAAATAAAGATATTGGTGTGTAAGTAATTACTCAGACATTTTTTTCCGATTAAATGGTCCGCATTTAAGATTTTAGTATATTTTATTTGCATGTAAAAAGGTTGTTTATGTAGATGTTTACATTTGACCGTTTGTAATTTGTTGCTTAATTTTTGCTCAGTGAATATTCTAAGTTTTGCTATTTTCTTAAATTGTGCTCTGCCTATTCGGCCATACATTAATACTTATATTTGTGCACCATCAACTTATGAAAACATATTATGTATCTGTTAATAGATGTCAGTACTTATTCAAAATATTCAAAACAGTTGGGGATGGGTAGAACGAAATACTGGTAAGTACCTATAAATTGTAAGCTATTTTTATCAAGAAAAACCATGGAATACATCTTCGTTAGGTATATAATTTGTATTAATATTGTATAGCGGATCATAAATTATTTATTACATTTTTTTAAACTTTGTTACTAATAAACAAGGCTAAGCAAATTAATGATTCTTTTTAACTCTGATAAGTTGATTGAATTCATGTTCAATTAAGTTAATTCGCATGAGAATTACATTAATAAATTTTAAAATTTAGTACAAAAATATCGTTAACTTAATTTCAATTGATAATTTAAGTAAGTTACAAAAATAAATATAATTTACATTAAATGCTGATATAAATGACAATTTACAACAGATATCAATTAACCATCATGATAATGAAAATACATAAAAAATAAACTTATTCAAGAATATTTTCTATTTAACCTAAATTAGAGTAGAAAATTATATATTTCTTCATTGTGATTGTTTTTAAGCACTCAAATATATCAAATTTACGATAATTTATATATGGTTTTTTTTTTTTTTTATTCATTTTTCATACAAATCACATATGATAAATTTAATTTTAAAAAAGTATTCCTTTTAATGTTCAATAACAGTATGAAAACTAAAAATAATAACTGCAGCTTAAAGTGTAACTATAGAATTAAAGAAACAATAAATGTATACAGTAGATACATACATTAAAATAAATATATTATTCATTTTAATTAAATTCAAAAAAAAAATAAAACAATACAATGGACAGGTTTATCAAAATATCTATTGAATCTCAATAAAAGATTCTCTCAACATTTTGATTAACTATTATTATATAAAATTTCTTCTCTTATTCAATAATATTTAATATCATCGATTATGAAATAATTCTAATAATAATTGTATTCTATAATCAATGATAATATGAACCTAATTATGTAATATAGATTTACGGCTATTTTTCATTACAAACGTAATGTAATTCATGGGCGGCATGCCTATTTTTATTCAATAGTCTTGGGAAAGTCGACTACTTTTTCCTATACCGACGGGACCTTATCTAAAAATTCTTCAACATTTTTATTTTTTAATTTTTCTAAATTCCATTAATTTGCTATTGAACAAAGTATTTTACAAAAATATTTTTCTGGTTTTAAAAAGCAAAATTAACTTAATTGGGATAAATTAAAAAATAATACGATAATTTCAAGTTAACTGTAAGGTTAGGTTAAGTTAATTTACCAGCAATAAAATAAGTTTAGAAAATAAGTTAAATTAATTAAACTTTTAACTTTTTAACTCGTTAATGCCCAGGCTTGCTAATAAGTAGAGCAGAGGACTAGTAGCTCTAAAAAATTACTAAATATTCAAACTTTTATGCACTTAAAAACCCAATAATATGATGTGCGTGAAGTTGGCCCTCCTAAATCAAACTGGCAACTTCAAACTTTCACAGGCATTTTGCAATTAATTTGCTATTATTTGCTATGTAATTTTCAGAATTTGTATAACCACGGTTTTCGCAAGAAAACATTTTTGACTTGGTATACTTAAAACATGCCTGTATAACTTCAACAGATGTTGAGAATTTAAAAAAAGCATTAGTGGTTTAGTGTAACAAATTTAGAGGTATAAAGAAAATATAATATTTAAATATGAATGTTAATAATATTAGTAATATTTACAAAAATATACATATATTTTAAATTCATAGAATATTTCCCGTTGTAAGATGCTGAAAATATTCGTATGTTCAATACAACAATAATTTATTTATTACAATACATTTTATTTTATTATAATATATTATAATCAGTGCCGCAATAACCGTGTGTGTTACGTGTGTCAAATACACGGGCTCAAGGCCCCAGCCTATAAAAGGGCCAAATGATAATATTTGAAAAATATGTAGAAAGCAAGAAAATAAAACAATTTTGAAATAATAATTATTCATGGAGTTTGAACAATAATTGATTGATTTTGTTTTATACACATTATCGTACATCAAAGTTTCTTTGACGGTCTGTATAATCGAAATTCAAAATAATTTCGTTATCATTGATTAAATCATTGGTTCTCAAACTGTGCTCCGTGGAGCCCTAAAACTTCGCTAAAGAAGTTTGAGGGCTTCGTGGGCATATCTAAATTAATTAAATTTAAATATTATTATATTTCTTAGTTATCAAGTAAAAACTACAATTTTGCATATACCTTTTCACGATCTAGGACAAATGGACGTAGCCGTTTGGACGTGGCTGTTTGGACGTGGGGACAAATGGACGTCAAAAAAAATATATATATATAAATAAGTAAATAAAATAAATAAGTTATTTGTATTTATTATAATATGTAAATTTTAATGTCAAAAATATTCTTTAAAAAGAACTTCACCATCGCGATTTGAATTAATTAATGACATATTGTACACTTGAATGCAATTTCTACACGGCTAACACGGTTATAGATGTGTATTGTCGTGTCTCGTGTATCACCGTATTTCGATAAAGTGTGATAATTAGTACAAGTTGTAAAAACCAATAAGTTATATATATATATATATATATATATATATATATATTTATTGATATAAAAGATACCTATTGCCAAAATGATAAAATTCGATATAGTTTGATATTATCAGGGGGTGGACACAACACGGCGGCAATGAAATCAGCGGCCATTTTAATTGAGGTACTTTTGTTATCAAATTATAATCAGTGATAACTAGGGCTCAGGACTTCTAGGAACTTGCATAATTTTAAAAAATTATAAAAAACATAGCTAAGTAATGTATAAATTTGTTTCATTGCAATACAAGTCTATATTTAAAATTTATAATTGCATATTTTGCATATTCGACCATTTTTCATTTATAAGTGAATATTTGACCCATTTTTCATTTTATAAATGCACATTTGACAATTATTCATATGAAGGAGTAAGTTTTTAAATTTTATAAAAAAAAAATTATGATTTATTTTTTCATATATCAGGTGACTTAGAACTCAAGGTGTCTTATTGGTGAACTAACTGAATGCATTAAAATAATTAAAACTACAAAAAACGTATACATTCTGCAAAAATTGAAGAATCTGCACAAGCTAACTACAAAAAATACCGAATATTTTAAATGGAAAAATGAATCTATGGATGGATTGTCTGCAGATATTAGTAGTAGTGAACCACGATTTTTTAAGTTTGCACCAATAAGTTCCGTAGACGTGTAACGTTCCTTTTCTAAATATAAAAATATTTTGACTGATAACAAGCAGTCATTTACATTTTCCAACTTAAGAAAATGTCTTATAGTCCAATGTAATGCTTGAGGTTAGAAGAATTATAACTATATTAAAAATAAAAAAAATGTTTTGAATTTAATTTATTTTTAAAACCATTTTAAATATTTTGTTTTAGATAAAAACTCAATATAAGATAAAAACAAATTTGAAAAAAAGAAAAAATTATCGCAGATCATATCTATCATATATAAAAATATTATTATAATTTATTACTAATTAATTTTTTATTTAATTAATTATTACAAATATAATTTTTTATAAATGCATATTTTAATAGCATATTTATTGATTATTTAGGGCATAAATGCATACATATTTTAAGGTTTGTAAGGGCATGAATTCCTTAGCCCTAGTGATAACTGATATTCGTTATTAATTGTAATTTTAATCATGGTAATTATTCAATATGTGATTTACCAAACAGTAACCTTTGAAAATACGCAGTAGCTTATAAAGAATATTACTACCGTTTCATGATGGATTAAAATGTTACTAAATTCCTACTGCACCTCAAATAAAATGGCTGACTGATTTCATTATTGTTCTATGCTGCCCATGTAATTTGTTATCAGTGTCCATTCTGTTTTATTCTGTGATATTATGATACGATAACATTAGTTATATTATAAACATAAAATATCAACGGTTTTATAACTTATAAATATATATATATATATATTTTTTTTTGACGTCCATTTGTCCCCACGTCAAAACGGTCACGTCAAAACAGCAACGTCCATTTGTCCCTATTCGACCTTTTCACCTGATCAGAGTGTTTTAGATTAATTTGACGAGAACTAGGTTTTTAAGTATCGGAGCACTCTTTCTGATCAAAATTGTATACACAAATTAAAACAATCCTATTGCAATTCAAATACATCTCTCTTTTAATCAGAATCTAAAAATGTTAAATAGAAAATATGAAATACTAATAATTATTAAGAAAAACAATTTTATATTTTAACATATATGTATAATTAAATGTGGAGTTATCTGAATTTTTTCAGGATTTGAAATTTTCTGAATTTCTTTAATTAGATCGTTATGTATTTCCCAATGTCATTTATCATTATGTTGACCATAATAAAATGAAATAAATAGTTTTTGTATACTGAATACCATACCAGTAAAAACACAGACCACTGAATAACTGATAGGTAATAAGAAAAATGATTTGAACAATATCAAATATCATTTAATATAAAATAATATTAACTGTATGAACGTGTAAATTTAGAAACACTGTGTGGATAGTATTATACTAATCCACTAGATACACAAGACAAAACCAAGAGACCAAAAAGGCTAAGTGATTAGCTGTACAGAGTTTACTCAGAATTCATCTATTTTTGTAATATATTTTAGTCACATTGAATATTATATGTTACTATAATTATATTATATACTAATATAATATACTATATGTGCATTGTACATAACACCAGTTCAACTCACAACTCGTTTTTTAATCATAGATTCAAAAGACTACATAGCTTAAAATCGATTTTGGTTCCTATAACCCTTAATATATATTGATTTAATAATAAATACTCTTTTATACTTTATATACTTTGGATATTGTATTTTATAGTAACATAAAATAAATTATTTTACACGTATTACTTATATAAAAAAAAAAATAATAATAATAATAAAAGTTAAACTACGCCACTGCAGTGCAATGCAATTTTTTGTTTTCGTTAACGTTTTACGGAACATAATATGATAAAGACATATGTTTACTGTTTATAAATAAAATAAATTTATTCGGCTATCCTCAAAACGTATTTCTAGAAAAAACATGCGACTGCGAACAGTCAATGGTTGTTGACCATATTAACCATATTAACCATATTATGGAATCAAAATTTAAAGTTATTCTTAATTCCACAATATTTTGGTCGTATATTAGATGAAATAAAAACGTCAGCTGAAAAGTATTATTATAAATTATTTTTAAAATATGGAAATATGCATCAAAAAGTATAAAATGGAGTTAAATATGGCTTTAAAACAAAAAACTCAAAATTATGCTTTTATATGCAAAATAAAATGTCAAAACTAACTTTGTGAAAGTATGAAACGTATTAGATTCGTACTTTGCTATTTTTGTGATTGTGCAAACAGATACGTAAATTCTACAAGTCCTCTGCCATACTAATAAGTAATTAGTTATAATAAATTGTAATGATTTTTATAATTATTTGTCTTTATCATATGCATTAAGATATATAAAAAAATATATATATATATTTTTTTTTTAATATTCTTATTTGTATTAACTTATTTATATTAAGTTAATTTAAATTTTAAAAATTATTATTTGTAGCTAACAACGATGTAAGATTTATTGTTCTTAACATTTATTAAAAAGAATCGTACATGTGTTTTTAGTAATGACCGGGCGTTTATGAAATCGAATATATTTTCTTTTTATTTAATTTCATTCTAATCTAGATATACAATTTATTCGAGTACTGAATTCATTTAAATTAATTAATAAATTAATTTTAAATGCTTATTTTTGAGATTTAAAGAATATATAAAAGCATATTTAGTTTATTTTTTAACTTATTCAAAAACAATTTATTCTAATCAATTATTTAAATCAACCAATCAATGAATTTCACAATGTTTAATCATTTATTATATACTTCTTTGATCATCTTTGATATTTTTTTGAGCCCATCAGAAGCTAATCAGATGCTGTTTGACTCTATTTAACATCATGATATAAATATGTAAATAATAATAATTTTCATTGAAATATCTTAACACTATATTACAATATAACTTAACAAATAAATACAACAACAATTGTACGATATCATTAGCAGTGAACTGACGTAAAAAGAAACTAACTTAGAATAAATAATATTGAATAACTAATTTGATTTATTTTATTTTATTTAGATCCTAGAATTAAAGATTTATGGTTAATGGGTTCAATATGGCCGATAACCTTTATTGTGATTATTTACTTATATTTTGTTCTTAAAATTGGACCGGAATTAATGAGATATCGTAATCCTTTCAACATTGACCGCATTGTTTTGGTATATAATGCCGTTCAAGTTTTTTTATCATTTTACGTGGTAAAAGAGGTAATACATATTTTGAGTATAAGTTATACAATACTTTATCATTTTTTATGTTTTATTTTTAACATATTTATTCAAAATTTGAACTTCAAATGACAAAAACATAAAATAACACATTGTGGTTAGTTACTATTATTAGAGGATAATTGATGCATAAAATATAAACATAAAATTGTGTTTTAGTTGCTCGAAATAGTTTATTAATTGCTTGTTTTATTAAAAAATATAATTTTCGTTGCATATAATAGATAATTGTTTTAATAATTGTTAATTGTTTCAAGATAGTCTACATGGTTAGACGTGCGTTGTAACTTATATTACATTTATAAATTATATGAAGCAGCAAATAATAGTTCTTTTTTTAATTATAAAGACAAATAAATTCATAACATTATGTTTCATTGAAATTTATAAATAGTTTTAATATAAAACTGCGAAGTTAAACATAAAATAAAATTAGTTTTTAGAGTTGACATTTTTTTCAGTTCGATTAAAGTATGCTATAGTATGATGAGTTTTTCAATAATTATTTAATTATACGAGTATATGATAAATTACATGTTTTTAAATAATAATATAATCTTATTCTAAATTAAATTATATATTTTGGGACTGTAACATTACTATTGTTACATATCAGTATTTTATTATTAAAAAAATACTTTTTTAAGTAAAAGAAACTTTCTAGTTTGTTTTTAAATCTCCTAGAAAGTATCTGGCTCTTTATACTGAATTGTAATTATACTGAATGTAATTTTTATTATTTTGTTAACATAGAAAGGGCACTTTAATATCCCAAAAATAATTTTAAAAGAATCAAAAAACAATAAATCTTATTATGTTTAAAATCTGTATATATTTTCTAGTAATTTAAAACAAACATCTCTGATTTATAATCATTTTTTATTTCTTAAAAATACTTAAATTCTTTATAATATGATAATTTATATAATATATACATAAATATAATTTATTGTACCTGTCAATTCAACGTTTTTATATTAAAATAATTCTTCTCGTCTAGATATTTAAAGTATTATGGCTGCAAGACGAATACCGATTTTTTTGCGTTGAAGTCACTAAAACTGATGATGATTTAGCAAAAAAAAGTAACTAATTGACTTACCTATGTTCAATTTACATTTATGATTTAAATTAATTTAATTTAAATAATATGTATTTTGCTAATTTTCAGCAAATTTTCCTTGTTTGGATGGCACTTATGATAAAATTACTTGACCTTCTAGATACCGTAAATACCTATTATTTAGTCTAATTATCTTTTCGTCTTAGATTAAAAACTGTTTTATTAAATTTAGTGCATTTGAATATTTCTTTAGATTTTTTTCGTTTTACGAAAAAAACAAAATCAAGTGACATTTTTACATGTTTATCATCATGCCATGGTCGTAACACTCGGTTGGGTATGTTGTAATTTTTTTCCAGGTAAATAAATCTAAACTATAATCAGCAATAATATTTAATATTATGGTTTGATTGTGTATACATTGCGTTTAAACAATTTCAGGAGGACAAGTTGCGTTTTTTGGAACCGTAAATGGAATGGTGCATGTAGTAATGTACAGCTACTACTTCTTGACTCTTTTAAATCCTGAATACAAGAAAGCATGGTGGAAAAAATATTTAACATTGTTGCAACTGGTAACTTATTAAGTTTTGATTAAAATTGCATAAGATAAACACGTAGAATAGTTTCGAAAATATAGAATAAATAATACAATATTAATCAGAGTAAATATATATGTATGAATTTTGTCTGCGAACTAACAGCTGAGAAATACTACTGTTTTACAATTCTAAATATCATTGTACCAAAGTTATTAAGTCAGACTTACACGCTACGCGTAACGATACGATTGACAGTTTATTGTCATATCATTCAAATTAATCGAAAAATTGATTACCGTTTAAACCATACGATTTCTTATACAATATCCTTTTTCGACCGCGGTTCGCTCAGACTTCATTTTGCCATCAGCACAACCTTCTCTGTGAACAGCCAATGCCAACTAAATCAAACCATAGCGATAAATGGTTGATACATGTTTACACGTTGCAACTTATCGTTACGATTCGCTGAAATCGATGCCGGCTATCATCAATCATCCGACCTAATCCCAATTCTAATAAATCACGACAATTTCATATTTGTATTAATACTGTTTACATTTCATTATTTCAATGATAATTAGGGTATGATAATTAATTTCAACATTTTTAAACAATCATAATTTCTGTGAAGAAATTTTATCAACTGAACAATATATTTAATCAGTGAATAGTTTTCTATAAGTCTATTACAAATGGAATGTCATACCAAGTTCTATTCTTTCTTTTTTTTTTATTTCTATAGATTAATTCCTTTTATTTTTTATGTTCATATATTTCAACATGTGAAGCTAATTTCGATTGAAAAAATTACATATTAGGTGTAAAACCATAGCATTCCAACTCGTTGAATACTAGAATGGTCACCCATCCGAGTACTAGTGGGCATAGGAGTAGTTTACCCTGAATCGCTAACTATCAGCTAATTTTGACGAACCAGCGTGTCCTCCATTAATTATAATTGTCACACTATCTTAATTTTGTTGTTTTAATTTTAAAATGAGACAATGTTATTTTCTATTTTTTAGATTCAATTTGTAGTAACTGGTATCCATGCTTTGATTTCATTATTTGAACCAAATTGCGACTTCCCTCGAATCATTCTGATGGTTGCAATACCTCAAGATATATTTATGTTTATTTTGTTCTGGGACTTTTATAAAAAATCTTATATTAATACAAATAAGAATAAGCAAGCATGAAATTGATAAATATAAAATATAATTTTTTTTTTTTTTTTTATAATTATTTGTATTGTAAATTGTTTACTTCTGTATAAAATAAAAAGGTTTTAATGTGTCTTTTCAATTAATATTTGTAACAAATTAATCAAGAAAAACTACATCAATATATAATATAATATAAGATGGTTTGTTGGTTATTATTCGATAGCCAATAATAGAAATAATTTTCGACAATCATTACGGTTAACATCAGGTAAATTTTTCTTAAGTATTTAAAAAATGAAAATAAAAATCGGTATGAATAAAATTTGTTTTTTAAAAAAAAAAAAACATTTTATTGATATTAATGGCTGGTACCGAATTCCGTCCCGGGCCCCCTATGGTTCCATAACTGAAGACTGAATTCCGTCCCGGAGGCGGAGCAACTATGTCTGAATTCCATCCTACTACCTGTAACTATGATATACTTGGCAGTAATATTTTCCTTCTCATTTTCTCCAGGCTTAGGACTGGCAGCTTTGCTGGCATGTTTAAAAATGTAAAATTCGGCAAAACAGCCTTATTTATTTACTATTGACATACGGAGCAAAAAAAAAACTCCACTTACAGTATATGCCATTTATGTATAAATATGTCAGTCATATAAGTATTTTAATAAATTTAAGAGTATAAGTATAATATATGTTATGTGTAATTAGTATTTAAATTATTTATTATTTAAATTATTTTTTAGATTTGAAATAGGCTGGTAAAACTTAGACGACACCTGACTTTGGTATACACAATACATAGTATATAAATCGTTTACGTTTTTATTGCGAATAATTGCGATAATACAAAAAAACGATACGCGTGATGTCAGGTGAAGCCTCTTGAAGTTCTATAAAATTGAACTTATATTAATACCGTCCAAGACTAGACGGAACGGAATTCGGACATAGTTTATCCACCCCCGGGACGGAATTCGGACGTAGTTGCTCCGTCTCCGGGACGGAATTCGGTCATTTTCAGCAACCCGGGACGGAATTCGGCGATTGCCATATTAATATATTTTTATTTATTTTATTTACTTTCTTTCTTTATTTATTTATAAATATATAAGCTATTTATTTATTTATTTGTTTTTGATTTTTTGAGATACTATGATAAACGATTTTAAACAAATATAAAACTAAACATACAATTATTAAATATAAATATTGTATTAAGTATTTTATGCATATGATTATTACGATAACTATATATAGTTTAATTTATCTTAATATTATAATATTATAAAGTTGTAGTATTATTTTTAATTATAATTGATTAATTTGTTTTATTTCAGTTTAATATAAAATAATAAAATTATTATATAAATAAAGAAACAAATAGTTTATTTATAGAAATAAAAGTTTAGCTTAGAGTATTATTATACTTGTAAGTTACGACTGCTTTCGATTTAAAAATTCATTAGTAGGTATATACAAAGTTAATATAATTGCGACTGAATAAAAAAAAATTAAATTGCGATTTTATTTTTTCAATCACAATTTTATTAACTTTGTATATACCTGGTAATGAATTCTTAATTTAAAACCAGTCGTACCTTACAAATATAATAATTTTCTAGACTAAACTTTTATTTATTTATTTATCTACATATTAATTTACAAGTATTAACCATTTAATTATTTTTAATTTTAATTAATTATTTTAATTATTTTATTAATTAAATTATAATCTTCATTTAAATATAAAATTCAAGTAAATAATAATATTAAAGAAATATAAGTAAAAACAAAAAAAAACCATAAGTTTAAATGGTATAATTTGTATATTAAATATTCAGACAAATTGGTTTTTTTTAAAGATACCATAATTTTTTATTACTCTTAGTATTCGTTTTACATATTTTTATGAAAGTTTTCTGCAGATTTCCATATATTATTCAATAAATTCATGGAGTTTTTAGGGAATTTTATCCACTACGAAAATTTCATTAATTTTAATCAAATTATTGTATACTAATCAAATAAGCGCAATTACCGTGGTATGGAAGTATTATTATTATTTTTTAGGTATCCTTGATTTACTATAATTTACAATTTAAAATTAAAACATAATTTTTTCGAAATATGAATTTACCAGTAATTTTTTTTTTTATTTAATTGTATTTTGCATACACACCTAGTATTACACAAATTATAATTTAAGATTGTGTAATACTAGGTATAATTTAAGATTAATTTATTATATTAATAATAACGTTACATTAAATATTGGTAAATTAAGTGGAAAAATTAGAAAGAATACCCAAATATTAAAAAAGAAACAAAAAAATTCAGTAGTTAAAAATTCAAAAGTTTAATTAAAAAAAAATACTAAAGGTTACTAACGGAATATTATTTTTTTAAAACATTAAGACATCGAAAACGAGTATAATACAATATATAAAGAATTTACAATAAAATAGAGCGAATAAGTAACAACTATACTTGGTTCCTTTAATTTTGGCGAATTTTAACTAGTTCATTGACACCATTTTTCATGTTAAATGATTTTAAAGCCTATTTTATAAATTTATCGCCGCTCGACAATACAATGTCATAATTTCCTGTGTGACCTCGGTTATATATTCAAATTAAACCAATATTGTAGGTTGTATATTATGTATCTATGTGGTCTTCATTTGAACATTTCCTTTCAGAAAACATGTTTGTAAGTAATAATTAGTTCTTCATATCTATATTTTATGGTTGATTTTATATTTAGGCACACACTCGTTGAATTGTTATTGTATTTTCAACAGTTGTTCATGAACAACTTCAGCGTACCTATGCACTTCAAGATACAAGTATAAAAGGTAAGAATTGCAATATTTAATTTATTTTTATATTTATACGTATTTTTTATACTTTGATTATAATAAAATCAATGATGAGAGTGGTGAGAGAAGATCTCTACGGTTTGACGCTTAGATCCTTAAGTTTACTTTAGAGCAGATAGCAGGGCTAGAAGCCTAAGATATACTTTAGATTCCATATACAGTGTGTTCAACGATAAAAGTAACACAAAATATTTCGAACGCATGACCTTGTAGGCAATTCGGTTTTTTTGTAACGCATAAAGGACATAAAATTACATTTATTTTTGATAAATCTTAATTTTTTTTTAAAGGCACCCCCATTTTTGAGTTCAAATTTGAATTATGTGAATTTTTTCAAGCGACTTTGACCTTAAATTTTGCTTTATCTTAAAAATTGATTGATTGAGATTGAATTAAATTTTCGATTTATAACATTTGTAGTTATCGTATTTTTCAATAGTCTACTTAGAGTTTTACAAATTTGTAAGCGATTTCGTAGGAATTTTTCTTAAAAATTAAGTGTAATGTCATAATTACAAATAATTTACATTACTTTTATAGGAATTTTAATTCAAATTTCTTATAAATGGTATAATTTTGGTTAATTTAAACTAACACATAAACAAACTAAACAAACTAACTCATTTTCTATTATTTTAATTCAGTTTTAAAACAAAATTTTGATTTTATTGAACAATTAAATTATGTACAAGTGAGTTTTGATTAAATTTTACAATTCATTGTATAAATTTCTTAAAGTTAATACCATTATTTGCAATGCATGCATCACACCGTCGCAATACTTCTCTGTATGTCACAGAAAGTATTTGTTCCTCGGTTAACTATGCACACGTGTAATGATGGGCACAATGTACCATCATTTTAATTTATCAAACCGCCCAAAGACATACTGTGTTGCGGCATGGACACGTAATTACGTTCAACACCCTTATAACAATATTGCCATATGTTAATATCATATTTATATTAATAATAATACTCACTCATGTAATTCTTCGCAAAGACACGCTGACTTGTGGCATGGATTTGTAAACATAAAATAAGCAGCCAATAAATAATAAAATATACATTTAGTAGTTAGGAAAATCACACGAATCAAATAATAATAAATAAAAATAAACAATAACAAACCTAATGGTACAAGTCATGCACAACCCTTCAGCACTTAGAGATTTAAGAGATTAAAGCCAACACCACCTACGTGACCAACAATGACAGTCGGTACATTAGACTCATATGATTTAAATAAAATATTTGAAGGTGTCGACGCCGTCTCGAATTAGGTCAATCCCTTGGACGTTTAGGTTATATAAGGAAACTCTACGGTCAGTCCGAGCGCAGTGCGATATCATAACAACTATGTAGCTACATGCAGTGAGGTATCGGATCAACCACGTAATCACAAGCAGTGGAAGATGTTGTACCGGCCATAGTAGCTGAGACTACAGTCGTAATTAATCTCACTTAACTTCTTAAATATTCGTGTGATTTTTATAGCTGTTGAATAATTAAAACATAAAAGAAAATCAATTCTTTTTATTTCTCTTCCAATTAATTTCTTGAGTAAAATACATTTACCAAGCCACTGGTATATTGGTGTCCCATCCTGTGAACTTTCAGCGTGAAGACTCCAACATATCAGACTCAAGTTTACATCCGAGGAGAAAGGTAAGTGGAAATAACACATATATAAATCAATTAACAAATTAACAAATATTATATCTCCTCCATTAAAACTCTCCTATTAAAATTCCCCTATTAACGCTATAACCTCCCGTTGATTTCTGTATCCCAGAGTTGACCTCACGACCCCGAATAATAATATAATTCGTAATAATACGCTGTCCTCCGCGTACGTCGAGTGGCTGTTGCTATAGGCCAAACTTCAGCTGACACTCTACATGTCTCGATAGGTCAAGCCAATTCGTCTAGGCTTTGTGTATTATTACTAGGTAATTTATCAATTATAGGAAAACTGCAAAATCGCCCTTCGCAGGTGGGTCTCCATCACCAATATCCACATCTCACATTTACCCCCTTCATTTCTTATATATTTTTGGTTTATTACGCATGCAATAATTATTTATATTTTTCAAATTTTGAAAATCATTTGGTGGATTAGAATAGACAGACGGTCTTCAGATGTCCCCATAAAAAAAAATCCAAAGGTGTCAAATCTGGTTATCTTGACGGCCATCATACTGGCCCACGAGTGTCCATCCATCTATGATTAAAAGTTCTCTCTAAATATTCGCAAACAATTAATGCGTTATGCGCAAGTAAGTTAAAATGTTTGTAGAAGTAATGTAAATTATTTGTAACTATGATAGTACACTTAATTTTTAAGAAAAATTCCTACAAAATCACTTATAAATTTGTAAAAATCTAAGTAGACATTAAAAAATACGACAAATACAAATGTTATAAATCGAAAATGTAACTCATTCTCAATCAGTCTCTTTTGAAGATAGAGCAAAACTTTAAAGGTCAAAGTTGCTTGAAAAAAATCACATAATTCAAATTTGAACAAAAAGTAGGGGGGGCTTTTAAAAAAAATTATTTTGTTGCGTATGCGCAGAATTTTTTTTTTTTTTTAATTTAGATTTATCAAAAATTAATATAATTTTATGTCCTTTATGCATTACAAAAAACCATAATTGCATACAAGGTCATGCGTTCGAAATATTTCGTGTTACCTTTATCATTGAACACGTTGTATATGTATTATTTTAACCAACTGAAAATTAATATAACATACATGTTATATGTATAATTATTATACTATAATACTTATGTTTTCGATGAAAACATTTTTTCCCGTTCCGAATTTATTTTTGTATAAATGTAGAAGCTCAATTTTGAATTCAGTATCATAATTTAATTTCTGAATAAGTTAAAATATATGTATTTAATTTGTTATTGCTGAGCCCCAAAATATGTGTTATAACTGATTAAAAACTAGTTAAAACATTATTATTTTCACACACACATTTATCATATATGTATATTATACTTACGTATACAGTTATAATTGATATTAAACTCTATACAGTAATCGAGGAAAAAATAATGTGCCAAATTTAACACGATAAACTGTCCGTAAGTGTCCAATATATATTTAGTGAAAACACTTAATTTATCCAAACTCAGTTTTTTTTAAGCCTCTTATACAAATAGAATATAATCAATCTTTTCAACCATATAAATTATTATACTATCCACAAACTCGAAATGATTTTATGCTACTGAATTTATTTAAAATTAAATAATAAATTACGTCCATTTTTAAGTATATACAGTATTTTAATGAGTATTGAATTATACGGTTTAATTTTATAATATTTTTAACGTGAAATTTATTACTCATATTTACATAAACATACATATTTCAAAACAAAACAATGTACATGTTATGTATACATGTATTATGGATATTGACTAGGTACTAGATGAGGCCAATTTTTCTCTATCATGATACAATGGCGACAAATTTATTGCTTTAATTTAAAAATATTATAATTATTTTACATTATTTTCAACAATTACTTCAATCAATTCAAAGGATATTGAGTTTTTTGTTAATAAAATATACAACATTGTCTGTTGTAATTTTTAACATAAAATGCAAATTTTTCATTTTTGTACCCTCCTAGGAATTGCACCCAGGGCGTAGGCACCTCTCCTCTCCTAGCTACGGCTCTGATATCGAGTATAATATATGAAACTTTAAGTGTTTGATATATATTGGAAATCCCGTAACCATTATTTAAATATACGTTACTTAATGATATAAAGCATTTTGTTATATTGTTTTTTATATTATTCATAAATAATTATTCAACGGGAATATGAGAAAATAGTTTAACTTTAATTTAGAATCACGTTAAAACGCTTCCTCAAAAACTACCTCTTAATTATGGATATAATTATTGAGTAATTTAGGATATGCGCTAACCATTAAGTATGGAAAACATTAGAGAGAAGTGGTCATGAGAGGTGGAGCGTAGAGGTACTGGAATGTCTAAAGAATATTAATATAGAAAAAAAGAGAGGACAAAAAACGCTGATGAAGAGCTAAATGGAAATTGAAGGTTACATGAGTGAAACTAGTGATTAAAACGGTGGTTTACACTGTATATTTGAGAGGGAAGTAGGTGAATAAAAACATATATATTTATAATTAATACTAATACTAACATGTTACGCAATAGTCAAAAATATTATCACATTTATTATTTATTCACGGATGCATTTGTTTATAGATGTCAATTTTATATGAGAAATACACGGGTTTTTTAGAATGGCTAGACGAAAATGGAGGTAAGCCGACATTATATTTTAATATATTTTATTAAATAGTAACATACATATTTATTTAGTCTATTAAGATCTAAAATCGATTAGGTACTTTACTTGTGGATAGTTGATGAACGTTAATTATTTACAATTTTTCTGAAAATATTCACTAATATTCATGTATTAACTGCAAATATTCAACTTATTTCTTTCTTTGTCCTTTAATTCTAGTATAAACATTTTATATTTTATTTTTAGATTCAAGAATCAAAGAAATGTGGTTAATGGATTCTCCATGGCCAGTTATAACCATTCTAGCCGCTTATCTATATTTTGTTTTGAAAATTGGCCCAGAATTTATGAAGTACCGTAGACCAATGAACATTGATCGTGTAGTTATGGTTTACAACATTATTCAAGTTTTATTTTCATTATACATAGTGCGAGAGGTAATAATTATTTTTAAGTATAAACAGTATATCTATAACACACTAGGGTTCTATTACTAAGGGTTACTTACCAACTACATTTTATTAAACAAATGCTGATTTATTTAATTGCATTTATTAGATTGTCGATTATCTATAATTTATTTATTTTAACTTCAAATTCTCAACATGGTTAATAGATTATAAAGTATAACTATCAAAATTGATTATAAATACTATTATTTGTAATCAATGCTATTAATAATTAGTATGAGTTATGTACATAACTGTACTGTGTACTGTATACTGTGTATATTTATTATATATTTTTGGGGGAGGGGGTAAATTAGCCTTCTTCAAAATGATTGGGGCTTAAATAATATGTGATAAAATGGTATACGAGTATATCGTATATCTTTGATTGTGGTTACTGCAAGGGGAATTGCTACTATCACTTCTTTCTAAATTACGTGTCCAAGTTCCATTTCTAGTATGAACAACATATCACCAAACATTTTCAATATTTTAATCAAATACATATATATTAACTTAAATTATATTTTAATAAAATATTTTATTTATTATATAATTATATATTAGATGTCTCACAATTTAGTAAATGTTCTGACTATATTAAACCATTTTATCTTAGGTTTTTAACTAAGTTTAATTTTACTTCAATCTTATAAAATTTATAAATATAATAATATATAATATTAATCGATTTCATAACAATTTTTTATTAGTGAAAAGTTTTTCAATAATTTTAAAATTGTGTCATATTAAAAAAATCTAAAAATACTGTTTTTTGTTTTAAAGTATAATACTTATCCTATTTCCTGGATGGAATTTTTCCTACAAGTTCATAAATAAATAAATACATTTTATACTTATTTTGTTTTCAAATCAAAATAAAAAAAAAAAAAAAGTCATCCAATATGATGATTTAGGTTTAGGGATTTCAAAATCTGGCAACCCTACCCTTTACTATTATCTAGTTTGAGAACCGAAAAGATGAAGAACGAATTTCCACCACAATTCTTCAAATAATAAATTTATATAGTTCTACAATAAAAAATTTGTTTTTCTATACATAACGAGTAATGAGTATTTAAATGTAAATTAACATGAACAAATTTTGGGGTGCTAATTTCAAAAATGGGGGTGCTAAGCACACCCAACCCCCCTAAATTGTGCTTATGGAAATAATCTTTATTTTCAGAAATATTTAACACAGTAGTCAAGAAAGTATTTAAATTTTTTATGGGGGGGGTCTAGGGAATATCCTCTAAGCAAAATTTCACAACTAAATCAATTAAAAACAAAAATTAGAATTTTAGTAAAAAAATTTAATTTTTTGTTTTTGCATAATCATAACACTTTTTTTTACAAAATTAATGAGTTAAAATGAAATAAAATATCTACATAATTATAATTATTATTTATAAATTAAATTAAATAAAATACCTATTTAATAATAGAAAATTAACATAGTAATAATGAAACAATTTATATTAAATTGAAATTTAATCATTACGACCAAAATGTTCGGATGTATGTATAGGTACAGTACACTATAGTATCTGGTACACTATATAAGATGAAATATTTGAAATTAATAATTCATAAAACAATGATAATATGAGCTTCTACAGTTGACATTTTATAGAGTCAAAGAAGACTTAAAATTGTTTTCTGATATTTTGGAGAGAAAGAGCTAAGGCCCCCTCAATCCCCTTCATAAATACACCCCTGACAGTTATTATTCTGGTTGTGCATTCTATCATACGTAATTTAATATTAGTATATTTTAGACGGCACAATAAGACCACCATAAAGTAGTTTTTTTACCACCAAAATTATAATTTCAGCCATTTTAATTTTTAATTTTGTATAAAATAAAAAAAAAAGGTATTATAAAATTAAAAATTAAATAAATCAAGACTATATGCGATATTAAAAAAAAGAATTATATACGATTACTTGTGATATTTTATGTTGGAAATAGGCTCACTGGAACGATAGGAATACACGAAAAGTGTCGAACATAAATAAAGATCATTAAATAAAATAGAACAGCAATAACTATATCGATAAAATTTTTGAAATTATTACTTAGCCAGAATTGATTCATTATATTAAAAAAGCCAGTATTTTGGAGAGATATAGGAAAATAATATAGTTGGAGATGACTTGGATATTTATTAACAAGTATTAATTTTTATAAGGCATATTTTTTTCATAATATCGAGTCATATTGTAGTCACATTATCATACTATTCATGTATATTATACCTCGCAATTATTTTACAAATCTGAATGACTAGGTTTTGTTGAATTTCATTTATTTATTTATATACAATTATAAAAATTATAAAATTATGTATTGTGAAATAATAAAAAATGTCTTTTTCAAAATTCCCTTAGCCAGGATATAGCTTTATAAGTATTATAAATCACACGAGTATTTTATAATTTATTGTGTTTATATTTACAGGCGTTTAGGTTAGTATGGCTTCAAGGTGATTACAGATCAAATTGCATTGAAATAGACTACAGTGATACAGATTTAGCTAAAGAAGTAATTTCATATCCATTCTTCATGTTTCTATAACGGGGGCTATTATTCTGAAAAATTAAAAAAACACAGAATTTAATAAATTATATTAGTTTTATAATATTTAACACATTGAAACACTGTTCACATGTGAACACACTCCATATGCTATTAGGATATTATGATAATACAATCAAAAAATACTTTATTCGTTATTTGTATCAGTTTATTTTTTACAGAAAATATGGGCAGTTTGGTTGTATTTCTTTTCGAAAATATTAGATTTGCTTGATACGGTAATAACTAAGGTACATAGATAAATAACAAAATTTACAGAAAACCGTGTTGGTGATTTAGGTTTTCTTCATACTACGTAAGAAGCAAAATCAAGTGACATTTTTACATATATATCACCATACAATGGTTTTGTCATTCAGCTGGGGTGTATTGAGATTTTATCCAGGTAAAAAAAAAAAAATCAAAATCAAAATCAAAACAAAAAATTAAAATAAATTTGTGTATTATTATTATTTGAAAAACAGGTGGACAAATAACCTTTTTTGGAACTATAAATGCGTTTGTGCATGTTGTGATGTACAGTTACTACTTCTTGACGATATTAAAACCAGAATACAAAAAAGCATGGTGGAAGAAGTATTTGACACAACTACAATTGGTAATTTAATCTTATATATTTCATTGCAGACATGCGGTTTTTTATAAAATAAAATGCATTTAATATTTTACAAGTGGTGCTACTATGGAAGTGCTAATGGATGTTTAAGCACCCTATCTTCCATGTCGTTGTAAATTAAAAATATCTTTGGTGAATAACCTTTTTCCAAATGAAATATTGAACACATTTGCTAATATTGATTTGAAATAATGTTTGCCACTTTAAATTTTAGTATAATAAAATATAACAAAAATACACAAAAATAAAATATTTTTAATTTTTCGTTATAATGATTTTGTGGATAGATATAATATTGGTATAACATAAATATTATTTTTAACGTTTCTTTTTTTCCTTTCCTGATGTTTACTTATTTTCTATGGCTCGATCGACTTCAGATTTAATTTAATGTAGGCTGTCCATCTGGTTTGGCGGGAGCCACTTTGTTCTCTGTGGATAATGTTTTTCTTTTTCAGGTAACAAATAATTCTAGAGTTAATAATTTTTTTCATTATTTTTTGTCATTATATTTAATAAAATTTTCTATCTGTGCCCAATCACAGTGTTTATTTCTTTCTAGTTTAATGATAGGAATAATTATACCTTTTTTTCCATTCATTGGGTATTATTTCTATTCTCCATATAATGTTGAATATGTTAAAAAAGTTTAAGTGTTAAAGTTTTCTTGAATTTTATTTTTTTGTATGTGCTCAATGAATATTTTTTGTTTTTTTTTTTATGGGTAATTTTCCCTTGTCGTCCCACCAAGGAAATTTTGGCTTATGTGGCTTCCAATAGTTTTTTCTGATATCAAAGTTATTATTGTTGTGAGTGATTCGACTTTTTTATTGATGCTTTATTGGTTAAAAGTGAAAAAGTTGGTAATTTCAATCTCAACCATTTCACTAAAAAGTGACCAGTTAGAATTTTCAGGTTCCATCATTTACATTTATTTGTGTCACCCTTTCATGGAATGAAATTGATTTTAATTGGGATATGGTCGCTACTGAATATATCGGGTAATACTATCTATTCAATTCTATGAGTAAGTGAGGGAGTGCAGAAAATTAGTTCTATACATAAGAGTTTACTATTTGCTATATTTATATGTGTAGGTATTGAGTTATTAAGTATTACGATGTTATCTTTTTCCGTAGTTTTTCAATTTCTTTACCCTTGGGATCTATTTTACTAGAAGCCTATATTAGACTGTGAGCGTTTAAAACCACCTATTAAGACGAAGGATTTTAATTAATACTATCAGTAATAATATTTTAATCGAGAGATTGGTAATTACTAGGGCTCGGATTTATGTGTATTAAAAAAACCAATATATGTAAATATATATGTAATAACAAATCATAATAATCAAAATACATATTACAAAATTGTATAATTCATGCATATTATACATGTTCAAACTTTCTAAATTAAATTATCTACGGTTTGTCGCAATACCGATTTGTACCGACTAAAGGAGCGCTCGACTTCAACAGAGGTAATGGGTGCAAATTTCATATTTCCACTGGCCAAAGAAGTGAGTTTATTCTGTAATATTACAGAATACCCCATCATTCCGCAGTGTATATCTCTAATTAATTTCAGTTTAAACCAGGATTTTTGTTTAATACACTGTGAATTTTTTCTTTTACTGCAACTCCCAATGTTATTTATACTCGTTCTATGCATTTTACAGCTTTTACGAGTACTAAAATTTGAACTAAGTCATTTTTCTTGTTGAACATATTGAAATTTCGAAATATGGAATATGTATGGACCATAAATAAAATTCAATAATTGGTACTATTTAGTTACTTACTTTTGGAAACATGCGAAATTGTTTGTATCGAATTATTAATAAATCGTAAATGGAAAAATGGTCAATATGTAAGAAAAAATGGAATTATTGTGTAATGTAAATATGTGAAAATTTGTAGGTACTATGGAAAAATATGTAAAAATATGTAAAATAAAATATAGTTAATTTAAATGGAAATCTCTTGAAACGAATTCATCACTTACCTAAATTAATTTATCAAGTCACAGTAAAAATATGTATTTACATATAAATCCGAGCCCTAGTAATTATATTTTAAATTATGTCATGAGGTATAATCGGTTGAACGTTAGATATGATTACGCGTTTGACCAAGTTTATAAGACAGCGAAATGCTATTTTGGTATTATGTATGACAATGAATCATTGTTTTGTGATAATTTGATCAAAAATATTCCTGTTTGCGAAATAAATGTAAACTCGGTTGTTCGATATGCGTCAGACGAATTTAATGTTGTTTGAAGACGTTAATTTATTAAGTGTCCATATACATTCTAATTGGGAAAGATCTTCGATTGTATTGAGTACCATGGATTGGTCTTTTTTTTTTTTTTTTTGGAAATTGCACATTTGCAATTGTTTCTGCAAAAGTTTTTTTCATAATGAGTTACGACACTATAGGTGTATTGTTATGAGTTAGAACCAAGGTAGTCTATCGTGAATGATTGAAACGAACGTTATTTGTTTTTGTAGCTAAAGGGGGACCATAATTTAAAAACATACTTAAACGGTTGTAGTATTTGTATTATTGCTATCGGAAGCTATAAAATGCGATTTATGAAGACCTGAAACACACGTGTGTATTGATCGGCTGTAACATGTAATGTAACATTGTTTGTTTACCCATTATAAATACTTTTTATTATTCAAACTATAATAATAATAATAATAAAGTCCTTCATTGTATTAACAAATTTTTTTACAATTTTAAGTAATTTAATTATATTATGTTAAATATTCTAATATAATTTTTTTTTTCAGATTCAATTTGTTATAACCGGTCTTCATGGAATAATTGCATTATTGACGACTGATTGCAGTTTTCCGAAGTTTATTATACTACTAGCTTTGCCACAAGACTTTTTTATGTTCATATTGTTCTGGGACTTTTACAAAAAAGCTTATAGGCAACCAAAAAATAAATTGACGTAATTTATTTATTTTTATTAATTGATTGTTTATTTTTTAAAAGTATATTTTCTTCAAACTCATTATTTTAATATAATATAATTCAATACATAAAATTAAATATCTAAAACATTTCAATTAACTAGGAATCAAATTGCAAGTATACCTAATAAGCTAACTGATGAATTTATATACATACGTATCAGCATATCATCACTATTCAACATTACTAAATATACTTATCTTATACCGCATAACATAGCGAATAGTGATTAGCAGGGCTCATAACTTATAGCTCTAAAAAAGGTTATTATAAGCGCTTAAATATGCTCTAAAAAGTATTCATATAAACGTTTAAATATGCACTAAAAATACTAAAATATGGAAAAATAAAAACGTTTGTGTATAAAAATTATTATTTTATTATTATTATTTATTACATTATTTTATTATTTTAGCTTCTATTATTAAAAAAAAAAAAAAAAAATTGGATACTGAATTCACGAAACGAACTAGCATGCATACAGTACGAAAAATCGGAAACGATTGCAAAATGTTAATGAAAAATAATTTGTAAATAATCTGAGAATGATGATATCGGAATATCTAGATAATGATATCGGAATACCCGAATACCTAGAAACTATAAAAATAAAATACTACAGTACAAGCTACAATTATCTACAATTATAATGGTTCCTTATCGATGGGATTACGGAGTTTCGGGCGTACACTCTCGCTACATTGCGCGTTGCCTAAACCCGTATAGGTATAAATAGTTTATCTGTTATTATTTTATACGTTATATAAGAAGAAAAATTAATTAACACGAATTAATTACTAATATGAACAATTAATATGACTATAATTACTTGTTATTTTTAAGAAAAAAATTTTTAGGCTACTAACATTTTTTTAAAAAAATCAATGATAAAAATCATACAAAAATCCAAAAATAAGCAAAAAAAAAGCGAAAAAAAACAAAATAGCACTTATACTCCGAAATATGCAAAAATATGCAACATAAAATGTCATATGTAGCTTTTTGGTTATCTAAAACAAATTTATAGCTCACATAGGTACCCCTAGGACCTTTCAAAAAAAATATGCAAATGCTAGAAGTTATGAGCCCTGGTGATTAGTGTTATAATATTTTCAATAGGCACTACGAACGAACGTAAAATATTTTTCACTTACGTTTGTTTAAAAAATCTTGTATCAGTATGAATGTATCAAAACAATAATAATACATAGTACCTATTAATGAAATTGAAAAACGGATGTCCTGCTATCTGTAATATCCTATACGTTTAATGTCTTTACAAAAACAATTTATTGATTTTGAATCAGAACATTATAAATAGGTAAAATAATTATAATTAATAACGAACATTGAGAAGCAAAAAATAAAATAATTTATATTTTATACTAAATAGTATAGTCAATTATACAAAAAAAATAATGCAAATTAAAGTGAATAATAATTTTAGATATAATATAATAACAAAATACAAAAATAATACTACAGTAATGCACCGAATATAACGAATATTTATTTTTAATTACATTTTGTTGTTATAGCAGTAAATTTTGACTGGTATTATTGATAAGTTACAAGTTTCCGGAACAATGTACCTATACTACCAATAACTACTGTTTATGACCTCTATATATATAATAAAAAAGTATGAATATACTGTGTAATTTTTTATGTACTTGGAGATGTTTTCTATAAATATTTTGTTTTTAATTTAATTGTTACTATTTTGATAATTGTGATTATCCATACATCATCTTAATTATCTAACATAGATAAAATAGAACTGCCGAATAAATCAGCATTCAATTTCCAGAAGTCGATAAACTGGTCGCAAATGTCAAACGAGTATTTAAAAAGGCAAGGGGCGTGTTCAAAAACTTCATACTGATACCACATATACCACTACCCCCCCCCAAACCTATTTTGCAACACTGGGGTATGTAAATTTCTGCCACAATATTTATAGTGAAAAATTCAAAACTGTAAGACAAATTGTCAAATGTTTTGATGACAATTATGCAGTTCCTATCAAAAATGCTCAAAAATATTTTAAATACAATCAAATGAAAGGAGATTTGGCTTACATCGGGGGGCTAAAATTCTGTATCCCCTGACACATTTTGAGTCCTCTGGATGACAAATGTGTGTCCCAAAAATTTTATAACGTGTTTTTTAGTTTTGATTGTAGAAATAAGTAATGAAAAATATTTAGGAATTTCAACACAATTTTATTATAATTTTTATTTCAAAATAAATTGAGAATCACATTATCAATTTTTGAATTTCATACAAATATCGAGTGATAAGCACTTCTCTGATTTCATACTCTTTAGCGGGATATTGCATATTGTTCCGCAAAACGCGTGTTCCAATGGGCTGTTGTAAAGCTGTAGTGTTATGATTGAAAGAAAAACAATGACATAGTAAGGTGCACGAAAAAACCACCAACCAAGAGTGGTTACTAAAGTTAACTAAAGCAATCAACTAATGATCTATCCAATACGTATTATTTATTTAAGTTGTTTCATATTACTATAGTAAAACGTTTTGAATTTTTACTTTTATTTATAGTACCAGTATCATATAAATAATATTGATGTGTAAGATAAGTGTTATATAAAAGAGGAAGCATTTTGGATGGTACAACCCCCACATGTGTTTTTTGCTATAGAAGTTATTGTTGAAGCCTAGAAGTAACAGTTAAATTAATAAGTGTGTCCCCTGAAATCAGATGTATTTTGGACCCTGGCGTACATTCATTCAAATTTCTCATGTCTTCCTATAGTTTAAATATGTCTACAAAAACAATGTATTCTCTTTTCTGAAATTGAACAAAATATTTCGACAAAATTAAGTTAATTAAGAGAAATAGCTAGAACTGCTATTAATAAGAACTTACCAACATTTCTCAACAAAAACAAAGGATTTCAAAATATGTGTAATATTTCATAAATATTAACTGGTAAAAAAGTGAACGTAGGTTTGGATATACAAGAAAATTTAACCAATAGCGACATGCAGGCCCGTATTTAGGAGGGGGCACGGGTAGGCACATGCCCGGGGGCGTCAAGTCTCAGGGGTGGCAAAATATTTTAGCAAAATTAATTTTAAAAATGATGTACCTAATGAAAAAAAAAATAAAAATTATGTTTTATTATGATATAATTTGTAAATTAAAAAAAAAAAAATTGTATTTTTATTATATTATAATTTCTTAATTAAAAAAAGTATCAAACGATTTTCATTTATAAGTTATATTTTAATCTCGATTATGAACGAAATAATAAGTGTTATATTATTATTATTTATTTGGGGGGGAGAGGGCATAAATTATATGCCCGGGAACGCTAAATTTTTAAATACCGGCCTGTGAATAGTGGACAGTGGTACTACGTACCAGCCTTTTAATTAATTTGAATGATAGATTTAAAGCCATAGACAAACAGTCTGATTATATTCTAATAATGAATTTGATTATTATAATATTTAGTTTAGTTGTGGACTATTGTCCATTACAGCAGTGGTGGTTTTGAGGTAAGGCAAGTCAGGCGGTGCCTCACTTGTAATTTTCAGGAAAATAAAAAATATATAGGTATTTGATACTATTTTTAATTAATTTATATAATTATTTTTTGTATAATTTATTTTATATTTTATATATATATATATATATGCATAGACAATAGATATAAAATTATTTAGGTTAAAAAATTTTTTGGAATATTTAATATTCTTTGAACAGAACTTGGACGTAACGCGAGAATGACTGCACGTCGCTGTAACGTTATACAATATTAAAGCTATTATAGCCATTTCTGTTTAATATCGTTCCTTCGCCGCCACTGCTAGAGCGTAGTCGCCATCGCCTATGTTGATGCATGCGAGATGTTACAACGCACACACACGTAAACCCGCAAAATGATTATAATAATAGTTTTTAATATTTTATAAATCAGGACATTTGCATGATATTGCCAATTTTGTGGTCAAACACACAATACAGCTGCATAGTATAGACTAGTTTTCTGAAATATTTAATTGTTTGAAATGTACTTGGATACCCGAGCCAAAGTATGACTTTTCTGTACTGCAGAAGGCAAACATAATAGAAAATGTCGATACAAGTATTTATAAATATTACCATGGTTAGCTTAAAGTGAGATTAAAAGAAAAGCCTATAGAAAATGATGTGTTGTATTTGCATTTTCAGGCAGTGGATCAGGCAACCAAGTATATTACACAGAAAATAAACTACTAAAATACATGCATTTGGTGTTATATTTGGTCCCCCTCCCCTTGGGATATTTCTGGCTACGCCACTGCCACTAGCTAAAGCATTAGATAAGTTACATGGCGAAAATAATAGTTTTTTGGGGTATTTAACTCCAAATATTTTAGTAGTAAGGCGTTGGCCATTAAGCCTCATTATTATTAAGTCTCTTTAAACTCGTTTTTATTATATATTGGATTTAAGTTGTTCATAAAGTAAAAATTTTATAATAGCCTCTGTGAGTCATCCTAAATTCAAATTAAGTTGGATACCACTTAGGTACCAGTGTTGAGCATTATCTAGATAAATTATCTAAGTAAATTATCTAGATAAATAATTAATTATCTTTTATCTTATCTAGATAATAAAAAAATTAGTTATCTAATGAATTATCTTAGATGAATTCTTGAGTTATCTAATGTAATTTATCTAGATAATTAAATAAATTTATTCGAAAAATAGAACTTTGAAGTTAAAAACTTAAAACCCATGTATATACAATTAATTAACCATTCTTGTACAAATGTATATATATATATTATAAATACGGGCTACGGCCGAATAGATTGCAACGTTGTGAGTTGTGACATTGTGTAGACCATACTCTACAGACCATAATTATTATTATGGATAATATTAAAATGCGCATAATACACACACTACCTATACAAACAGGCACAATTAAGTATATATTATATAACAATGACATTTTGATTAGCTCACATATAAGTTATAACTAATGTGAATGTCATGTATATTATATTCTTTTGTGTTCAATTCGAAATTTCTTAATATAGGTAATATAAATGAATGCGGATTTCCCGAAGTGGTATTTTTATATAACGATATATAGTTATATTAATAAATCCATATTGATTAAGACTATTATAGTTAAGTACCTACTACCTAGGAATATGATATTTTGTTTCTATGAGTGTGCTGTGTGTATAAATTCAATATAGTATATACTCGTACCTATATTAGTGCACACTGCACACTGTTTATTATTAAATACGTATATCATATACTATAGTTTTGAAATTGTTGATAAATATAAAAAATAATATCCATTCTACGAAAACAATAACAAAATATTAATACATATCTATATTCTTAATAATATCAAATGGTCACAGTACCCATGATAGACGACTAGACGAGTGACGACAGTGTATCAGTCATCAGAGTATGCCGATTGCCGAGCGTGGTGTGTGACGAAGCTGGTTAACATTCATTTTTGTTTAGAATTGTGTTTACTGTTTAGTTTCCTAATATTTGATTTGATTTATAATTTTAACATAATGGACAAATTCATTAATCGAAGCACAAAAAAAACAAAACAATGTGAGTGAAGACGATCCTGCAGTACACAGTTCGGAAACAATAGAAAAATCAAAATGTTACATATTTGATGGCAAGTTTTTTAAAATAATAAATGTAGAAGACAATGATAAAAATAAAATATTCGCACAGTGCCAAAATTGTCCTAAAATCGTGCATGGTCATAAAGGATCAACTGGAAATTTTTTAAGTCACATTAAGGTAGGTACCTATTTAAATAATAATAATTAATTATCATCGGGGCCTAAAATATATACAATTTCAAGGTACATAGTTATAATACACTTTTAGTTCAATTAATATTGTTTACAGATTTCGATAAGTCGGTACTTATAAGTTAAAACACCTGTGTTAGGCTCTGTCTCGGGCTCTGTTAATAATTATTTTCCCCGAATGACTTGAATGTTTTGATTTTTTTAACCAAGATTTACTAATATATATATATATACCTACTGCCTTCCTAAAGAGAAAGACAGTATCTCCAAAAACTAAAATATTGGGAAAATGAGTTTTTAGATTTCTTAATTTTACCTTAAAATAATCAGATTTCATTACTTTTTTTCACATTATACGTGAAATCAGCACAATGTGTATTATTATTATTATTTTTTTTTGTACTTGATTGATTATTTTGACCTTTTTATTGACTTTTTAGGAGCATTTTACTTTAGTATGACAATTCCTACATAACTAAACAGTTAAATTTTTCAAATGCAGTATCTCTATTACCCTATTTTTAATTTTGTTGTTAATACATTGAATGTTTATGACTTATTAATATATTTAGTATAATGTATAGTATTATTTGAGCATTACATTTTTTTTTCTATTGATAATGGATAATACTTGTATGTAATTACTCCATAATAATTAGTATATAAATTATAATGAATTGTTTTATAAAATTATAATATTCTTACCTACAAAGAATATATTTTTTTTAACTAAGTACTTATTATGTATTACTTATTTCCCATTCATAAATGTACATAATATAAATATTTGTTGTTCATTGTTTATATTGGAGGTATCTATTAGATCAAAAATAAGTTCATTTTTATTTAATTAAATTTTTTAAATATTAATTTACAAAAAAAAGTGTAGATTTATTATGTAATAAAGTTTAAAAATAATTTATCTTTTTTTTTTATACAGATAAATCTTGTTTTATCTTTTATCTTTATCTAGATAATTTAGATTTTAATTATCTTTTATCTTTATCTAGATAAATGTTGTCCAATTATCTTTTATCTTTATCTAGATAAATTTTTAGTTATCTTTGCGCAACACTGTTAGGTACGAGTATATGAATTTATGTAAACCCCTAATTATAACCGAAGTGTTGCATAGGAATTAATTCTGAAACAAAACCTACAGATGTGGTTGTTAAAGACTCTGTTAACAATAACAGTGATGATGATTTATTTGATAATATACAAAATGATAATGATTTTAACAGTACATCTGAATCGACTAAATTAAGTTATTATATTTATTAGGGGTTTTTTTTTCACACGCGTATAATGAATATTAATCAAAACCTGTCATTTTGATTTCATAGTAATGACGATGCATTTTTAAAACAACACTTGATCGGATTTCTATAAACACGATCACGAAAATAAAAACTAAAAAAAAAAAAAAAAATGTTATGGCTGAAATGCTATCGACGAAAAAGCGTCGTAGTATGCAAACAGTTGCTATGATCAAAAGTACTATTAATATGATGTAATAAGAGGAACGAGATTTTTAGTTTCCCGTAAACCATCGACTTGACTATTTGAGTTGTTTCAAACCTACGGCGATACAGTACAACACATACGCATACGTATCTGTGCATCGTTGTTTCCGATCGCCTAGTACAACCTTTCTGGCTGAGACTTCAGGAAGCACCAGTGCTACTCAAGTACACAACTGCTATACGTACATAGCTAGTATACTTGAAAGCGAGACGCCATGGATCCACTACCTCACACAACGATATGGGACCTGGGCTTGCCGGCAACACCGGCGGACATGAGCCCCGAGAACATGAACTACGGCCTCAACGACATGGTCAGGGCCAGTTATTTGGCGAAACTTCGCGAAATGCTAATGTCCAACATAAGAAAAAACACTGCGAATGACCGCGGCTTGGCTGAAGACGCAACGGCCGAAATGTTCGTGGAAAAGTGTTTGAGCGAGATGGAAAAGGACGCGTTAAGGAAATGCATGGTAGCGGAGATCTACTGCGAAGCAATGCGTAAAACAGTAAGTGTACATCTGCTCCGTGATTCCTGAAACTCATCCCTCCGTCCAAACATACACACTTTGTATTTCGCAATAATGATCCGTGTACGGGTAGCACCCACATACTGACTTTCGACTCTTGCTGTCCGCGGGTGCGTTAAGGACCCCACAAGGATGCACTAAAACATTGGTTTTCAACCAGGTGGTCGCGAATCATAGGTTTGGGGGTTGCCAAAAATAATGGATGAAATGATTTTTCCATATTATTTAAAAAAAACAAAGTAAATCATTTATTTTGTGAAATTTTTAAAAATATTAATCAAAATTGTTTATCATGTTAATTTTTTATCGGCAATTAAATCAAATTTCGATGAATAAAGAAACAATTTATTTTTTGAAGGAGTCGCATTACAAAAAAAAAAAAAAAATGGGGTATCGCGATGCGAAGAGGTTGAAAACCACTGCACTAAAACGTCGAATACGACAATATTATGCTAATGATTCGCGATCGTATTGCTTTCTATGGGTAAACAGATAGACGAAGTGAACAACTGCACGGGCAAATCAACGATCCATGACCGGCTGATGTCGACGATCATAGCGGAAGCTGACAGTAGGAATCGTGTAACCGCATCTACGATGCAGGTCGCTGCTGACGACGTCGACGAGAGACAACAAAACTCCTGTGGCGACGCGTACCTACTTCAGTTCCCGACGCAGGCACAAGTCTTCGGTAACTAGATCATGGGCATTATTGGAAATAAAACCTAACGCCTTTTACAGGCAACTCACGATCGTTAACGATTAACTCCCGATCTCGTGGAAAACGAAAAATGTCTTTGCGCCAAAGCGTATATTATTATGTTTCCTTAAAATAAACGTTTAATTTACGCTTGCAGATCAACAGAGTGAACAAGGCATTATGACACTTGCCATCGAGAATTTCAAGTGCACATCAATGTTTCCGGGATCGATATCGGAAGATTTTTTGGACCCGAGTACCGTGCGACCCGATGTGATTAACGTCGTTAAGAATGATAAAGATCTCAGCGCTATGGTGGCTACAACGCATGAGTTCCGCAGGAACATGAAAAGACTACCCCGAGCCATGCGAGCCCGGATAGACCAGGAGCTGAACCGGATGTTTGGTAACTGCCTTCATCCCGGGTATCAATCAATATTTCTGTCCATGGAGGAGGAACGAATAATTTCCTACGAAAGGATCATGCTGTTGGTCTCAAACCGCATAAAACCATATTTCGAGCACGGGAAAATCGCCAAATCCTCCGACTTTGAGAATCTCGTTCAACTCATATCTAGGACCATGATGGATAGCGCCAGCGATCCGAGTACGATACTTTATTATTTTGTTGTTACGCGCCAAAAGCGATTTGACGTTTTTCAGTATGTTCAAGAACATTTATAACCCATCGTCGTCGTTACACTGTTTAAAAAGTTGTCGTCATCTTTATATCGACTGCTAGATTTCATTTTATTTTACTATTTCTCTTACAGTTTATAGCTTAACCACTAGTGCAATTTTCAATGTATTGAACACGACTGCATTTGGTATGATCTTACACGAAATATAGCACGTTACATATTTAAGTGCTATATCACGTGCAAGGAAATAGCATTCACCAAAAATGACACCTACTCTCCTAAATTTTCGGGCATCCGGTATAGGTAAAATAGAATAATGTCGAGCTGTCTCTGTTAAGCCAGTTCATATACTGTTCATATACCGTTGCCGGTTGTTTTAATTCTGCTCCTCTGCGCAATTATTTAACAATTAACAATTAACAATTATTTTTAACAATTATTTATAAACATACAACGTACTCTTATGTATTACAAAATTGCGTTGTAAATTTGCTGTTTTTTGATTTTCTAGCTGAAATCACGATAAACCAAACCATAGACGGGTTTTTCACCGGGCACCCGTACAAATCCGTCGATCAATTCATAGCCACCAATGGTTATTTTTTCCAATCTGATTGGCCGTTGTAACCGTTCAAACCAAATGGCGTCTCGATAAAATGTACCAAAATAGTAGTACACACGTAAGTTTCGTTTTCGTAGAGTATTGGAATTACACCAGAAAGAAAATCCGTAAAATTACCTCTTTAACCTATGAATAAAAGGCTGCCGCTTCTCCATCCGATCCTTAAATACAATCTTACCAATAACAATACAATTTTAATTTATAAATGTATTCTACGTGCCATGTTGATATACACGTTTTCGTTACAGGTGCCATTTTTGTTATTATGACATGCAACAATGACTTTCATTGTATTATTCCTTTTTTACTTCAACTAGGATTTTGTGAAATGCACAAGACTTTGCCGGTTGGCTTGGCTGTGACAGAGCATGAATCGGGCCCGTTGGCCTCAATTAAGACGACAATTATTTATTGTTCTTATTATATGTATTTATACTTTTTGTTAAATTAATATATTATATTATGAAACCACGTAATTTGCGTCAAAAAGACTTTCATTGTTTTTTTTTTTAAAAAATGCGTAATAAAATGTTTGTTATTGAAATCTAATCTTAATCCGATTCTTGTTACGGTATGATTATATGGTATTCTATCGTAAATGGTAAGATACTACGTAAAATATTATGTGTACAACGGATGGAATTCCTAAAATAGTTAAATGTGCCGCGAAACGGAACTGACGAAGTAGCCGATGACACCTTGTTGTGGTTCGCAAGTGTTTTGTAAGTTTTGCAAGTTCGATTGTAGACGACCATAAACGACGAAATCACTTCGCATTAAGAAAACGTTGCTCCGAGATGAGCTCACGTGTGTACAAGACGACAAGCGCAAACCGAACAATGGTTACGTGATGAAAGTTTAAGCTATTGTTTTTTCTTATGCTTTTACTATAACTATAAGTTGTTTTGTATAAAATATTAACATCATAATATTTAACTGTTATGTTTTACGTACTGTGAATTTTTAGTTTTCTAATTTTGGTTCAATTGTAAATAATAGTTATAGATTTGAGTGTACTATTTTAATTTACTGGGTGATCAAATCTGAAGTGACAGCGGTAACTCTATTGATTATGTGACTACTAACCCTAATAATATAATAAATATCTAACCCATAGACTTTCAATATAAGTATTGTTATAAACCAAAATTAGTGAAAAGAAAAGAAGAATAATAAAAAATACAGTAGGGTAATTGATGGATATGGGATTGGATTGAATACACTCCTTGTTTAAGGAAGGTCATTCGGGGTTTGTTCGAGATCCGATCAGTGCAACTGAGTAGTCTCAGAAGTTAAATAAAATAGCACTTACTTGGATCGTCGCCGATATTCGGGTGTTGACGAGGCAGACATAATATAATATTATGATGAATAATGATGAAAATGGAGTGAAATAGAAATTAAGTGAAAAAAGTCTGAAGTTAGGGTGAACAGATCGTGGACACTTATGCTGTACAAAATAAATAAAAACACAATAACCCAAGCAAATTTCGATTTCCTAAAAAAAATCTTTTGAATAACATTTTAAAATTCAAAGACGACGTAATGCATTCGATTCAATGTATATTAGCGTTTATGTTGTAAGGCGGGACGCACACAAAAGCGATACGATATATGCGATTTACGGTAATAATTGTATTACGATTTCCGCTTGCACTTATAATACGCAACTCTTACGACATTATGATATAGATCAGCGGTTCTTAACTTTTTGTAGATCACGGACCCCTGATGAAGGATTTTTAGTAATTGCGGACCCCATTACCAATTTTTTTTTACAAAACCTTTCATCTTATTATAACCAAAATTATAATAATTATTTTGTATAATACATATTACATTAGTAGACATAACAAACCATACATATTTATAATTATTTTTATTACACCTACATTTTCAGGTAACTTAAATTTAATTATTTTAGTTTTAATTTCTTTTTTTTTTTTTAATATTCTTAAAATTTAATTTTTATAAGCTTAATACGATGGTTAATACACAAGATTTTGAACATCGTATAAAGGTAATAATATCTATCAATTATATAATAAAATTATATGAAAAAAATAATAATAATATTAATTCAACACTATTGTAATAATACACTAATGTCATTTATTGATGTATGTTATGTGTTAGGGCTGCCGCGGACCCCTAGAGGGTCACGGACCACAGGTTAAAAACCGCTGATTTAGATAATAAGAATGAAATTATGGAAAAAGTTACCGATGGAGATCTCGAAAGAATCCCACTAAGACAAACTAGAACAATGCAAATTCGTGACACAATGGCGGAATATTTTATTTCTCCGGAAGGCAGTATACCTCATCAATGGAAATATAAATAAAAATGTATTATTATCAATTATTTTTTACTTGTGATTTAGGTAGGTATATCTAATAAGTATAAAATATTTTTATTTTAAACACCTATTTATTTATGACGACATAACATGTGAATTATTGATAACAATGTAATTCACTCATTCAATTTTTCAATATAATTGTAGAATATATAATTAATGTGCCTTTTACTAATGACTATATGTGACAATAATACTCTTATATATCAGATTGACGATTGTGTACTTTAAAATGTATTTGAGAGTTTTTAAATTGATTGTGAAAGAATCACATAACATAATTCTATTCGATTAAAACATAATTTTTTTGTTGAATAGAAACGTTTTTGAATGTAAAATTTTATGGTTTTAAACAATGCTCGATTTGGAAAAATTAAAGAAGGGGGACTCTATTTACTTTATTTACTTTAAAAAAAGAGCATCCCCAAAACTTGTTAAGCGTTATAATTATAACATAATAATATTAGGGGGATGTTAAAATTTCTGAAAATTAGTTGGAGTACTCTGTCCCCTTGCGTCCCCCTCAAGTCGAGTACTGGTTTTAAATGAAAAAAAAATTACACTTACCTGAATCGTGAACAGTATCTTTCCAAGATTTTTCTGAGACATCTCGTCTGCTATAATCCTTTAAAGTATAATTCCATGTACACCCAGGCCCATATTTAGGGGGGAGCACGAGTAGGAACATGCCCGGGAGCGTCAAGTCTCAGAGGTGGCAAAATATTTTAGCAAAATTAATTTTAAAAATGATTTACCTAATAAAAAATATTAAAACAATAAAAAAAAGTAAAACAGTATGTTTTATTATATTATAATTTGTTTAATTTGTTGATTAAAAAAGGTATTAAACGATTTTCATTTATAAGTTATGTTTCAATATTAAAGAATCTCGATTATGGACGTAATAATAAGTGGTATATTATTATTATTTTTTTTTTTGGGGGGGGGGCATAAATTATATGTCCGGGGGCGCCAAATTGTTAAATACGGGTATGACGACATGACGTATTTCAAATTTGTTCCAATAACTTTTTCAGGAGTAGAACGCTCATTTTCTTTATATAAAATTTTTTTGGCACCAAACAGGAGATGTTTCAAGTTTGAAAATCTAATAAAATTATTGATGGTACAATGCAATAATTATTTTAAAGGTAAAATATATAATTTTAAGTAGAAACATAATATGTTCTAAGTAGAGATGTTCTGAGTAGAAAATCTAGTATTAACCGGGTGTCGAGTATTGGCCTAGTAAAAATTTTAACACTTACCGGGTATCGAGTATAGGCCGAGTAGAAATGTAAATACAAAGTGGATATTTTACTAGTATTAAAGTATCAACTAACAATTACTGATTAATAAATTATTAATAATATAATTTAAGTCTTTAAACAGTTTAAACACTCAGTACGGGTCAAGAGCATATTTGTTGGAGGGGGAGGGGACGGGACATTCGCTCGTCTTTTTTTTAATATAATACATTGATTTATTTAAAAAATGTAATGTATAAATAATGAAGAATATAAATTACTAGTCTATCATTATAATATATTATCATTACAATTGGAACATGAGCTGTAGGTAATGAACTGTAAATTATTTTTAAGTTTGGATTAAAGAAAAATTAGTTTCCCCCCTCCCCCATGACCTCAACTCAAATACGCCCTTAGTACTGGTATTGGCCACTGGATAGTTCTGCAATTATAATAAATTAATAACAAAAATAAAACTAATAAAATGTAAGTCTGAGCATATACTTAGTCACACTAATACAAATTAAGTAGGTACACTATTAGTGTAATACTAATACCAGTTGTTTAGATGTTAGACAATAGCTATGTACAATTTTGCTCAATAAGACAACAATATTGAATAATTAATGAATATTGTAATTTGTAACTAAAAAGTCAAATGTAAATACTAAATATCACACAATTCATTTTTAAAATTCTTTATTTAAAATTTAAAATCTCTGAAACCATGGGCGGATTCAGAGTCGGGGAACTGTGGGTCAAGCCACTTCAAGAGACCATTTATTAGAGATGAAACTGAATTAGAAATTAATACCTTGTAAAAAAAAAAACACAATATGCTGCTTTTTATTAGCAGTTTATAAGTATATTTATATTACATTTTAGAATTAGTGATACCACCAATAATGACTTATTTACAATTATTAAATATACCTAATCTAATTTTATCAGCGCAACAAACGTACAGAATAAAATATGATTTATTTAACTTTCTACTAAAACGATATAATTTAAAATATAAATTATGAATTGTAAAATTTTAAATTTTGAATATACATGGCATTCATTTTTCAAGTAATTCCGATGGGCCAACTGTCTAAGTGTCCAAATCAAGATCTAAAAATAGAGAAATATTTTCAAGAGACCAATTTTGTCAACAAATATAAACTGTGAGTCAGCTGACCCCCAGAACCCCCCCCCCCCTAGATCCGCCACTGCTCTGAACGTTTAAATATAAAAATAAAACTTAATAGTTGAATAAAAATTAACAAATTATTAATAAAATAAATTAAATTGTACCCTGTCAGTATTTAACATTAATATTTTTTATCATTAAATATTTAAAATTTGTTTATATTATGCTGAATAAACAACAGTTGTTCAGCATTTTGTGTCTGAAGTCTATTTCTTTTAGCTTCATATACTAATCCTGCCTCTGAGAACGACCTCTCAGAGTAAACACTGAATGCTGACGCTGATAAATATTTTTGTAAGAGTAATTTATTTCCAATTAATGGAAAACTTTCAAAATATATTTTTCACCAACTTAATGAATCGTCATCAATCAAAACACATTTCTTGTTACAATATTTTTCAAATTCGACAACTAAATCCTTATTGAAATTATGATATTCATCCCAATCTGTGTAGTTAAGAGACGTAGGTTCTTCAGTTTGGTCGATATTTGATGTTGCAATTTCTTGATTTATTTTTGTAATTCGTAGAAGAAAAACATGATTTGTTTATAATCAACTGACTATTGTAAATCGGTTCAGTTATTCCAATATGTACCAAAATAAATTATAACTCATTATCCTAGAATTTTAGATTTTTCCCGTTATATTAATTATAGGTATGTATACATTTATAAATAGATTATATCAGCGTTTTCCATTGGATATAAGTCGATTAAAAATGTAGTATTTCGCCGGATACTGAGTAAGGGTCAGGTAAAAGTGTAGGTATTACGACGGGTACCAAGTAATGGCTGGGTTAAATTAGCTTCAAGTCTTCTATCAGCTTAAGTATTCACGTCAAGTTGGTAGAAAACTGGTAAATAATCTTGGGTTGGATGATCAATCGTTAATGCACTAAATAGTATTTATTATATATATTCATCAGGTAATCACTGAACACAGAAGTAGGTAATTGTGTATTACAGATTAAAATAAGCTGAATATTGTTTAATTTTTTTTTTTTTTTTTACAATTATTACAATATCCATATAACGTCTGATGTGCAATTCATAGTAGAAGTTAAAACATATTATAACAATCAAATGATGTGTTAAAACTAAAATAAAATATTGAGATCTTTCTAGTAGAATTTTGGGGCGTTTGAACTACATACCACTGTGACCAGTGCCGTAGAGAGAGAAATCCGGGCCCGAGGGGTATATCTTAATTTTTTCTGCAGTGTTCATTAAATTCTTATCATTAATTGTGTTTAATTTTTTATAATTTGTAGTCTAATTTCTGGGCCCCCTCAAAAATCCCTTGCCCAGGGGGAGGATCATCATCCCCTCCCATCTCATCAGGCCTGACTATGACCATTGACCAGATGGTCACTATCATTGGTTTTCGATTATGCCTAAACGTTGAGTGATCATTATCAAACAAAATTGAATCGTAATATATTTGATATTTTGTAAATGGCAGCACTGCAATCCCGCCAATCTTATATCGTAGTCCTAAACTGTTTACAAACAGATAAGAACGAAGTTCAGTTGAACATTTATTGTTGTTTTTGTTAAATTCTCTTCTTTTTTTTCCTTCTCTGTGTCTATAAAATATTTTTTAGAATTATTTATTGCAAAAATTAACTTTCGACATGACTGTCAAGAAGAAGGTTAGTATAGAGCGTTTAGACAATAGGTGTTTAATATTCCTTATATATAAATAGTTTGTCTGCTGATAATCAAAACAATTTCACCTAAAAAATGATTTTACTGTGTCTAATTTAAAGAATATTGAACATTTTTATTCTTTTTTAAATTTAAAAATATCCCATTTATTTATTCCTTATTAAATATACCAAAAGCAGACGTATACTTCCAATTGCTTTTACGATTTACAATATCATAATTAACTGTCCTTTTAAATGTGTTTTATTTAGGAAGATGCATTTACTTTTCAGTGATTAAAATAAAAATAAATACTAATAAGTATGCATTGGTTTGTGTACTTATTATATTGGTTGTTTATTTATTATAATGTTGAAGTAAATAAATCATGGTCTACTACTATGGTCTATTTAGTTGTTACATTTCCTATTTATTCATTATATAGTTTAATTTTTATAATCAGCCGGTGTCTGTGTGATGATGAATGTATTTAATACTTTATTTTTCGTAATAAAATAAAATAATTTATTGACCTTAAAGATTACTTAAATAATCATTGGTTCTTTATTTATTACATTTTCAATAATATATCTATGCAATTTATATTACTCTATGTTATCTTACTATTAATTAAAAGCTAATATATTTAAAAACTATAGTAATTTTCAGTCTTTGATTTGGAGTAAATTTAGTTTATGGTGTTAATTAGTTGATTGTGCTATAATTTAGTTTTATTGAAAACATTACATTTTTGTTTAATTTATGTCTTAACTCAAGGTTTCTTGACTTAAAATATATAGAACTATCTAGAAAACAATTTTAATTTAAATATTATAACATGGTAATTTTTCATTATATTCTTGTCAAGTTTTAGACATTTTATTACTTTTAAATTTTTACATTTTTATAAATAAATGTTTTCACATTTTAGGAGACTGTTTCTTCTGTGAATAAATCGTCAACGCCACCAAAATCTACGGCACGGAAAGATTGTGTTTCAAGTACTGATTCCAGTAGTAGTTCTAGTAGTTCAACATCAACAACATCAGGATCTGATACTTCAAGTTCGTCTGACACTGAAAATTCGTCAACCACTGAAAATAATTCTTCTGAATCCGAAAAACATAAAAAATCACCTAGGAAAAAAGCTTCCACATCATCAGAACCTAAAGTGTCTGAACTAACCAAAAAACAATCTTCACCTGAAAAATTTAAAAGCAAGTCTAGTACAGCTCCCAAATTAACAGTTGCTATTTATACGGATTCAGATACAGATGCTGAGACTAAAACTAAAAGAAAATTTCCTCCTGTTAAACCTAAAGCTACTGCTACAGTGGCAGCAGTTTTTAAATCTCAAGATAAAGGTAAAAAATCTGATGTGAAGCGTAATCAAGGACCTAGGTCTAAGGCTACAGCTGTTACAGATGGAATCAAAAAACCTGACCCAAAGTCAAAAAGTATTTTCAGTCCAGATAAGATTAATAGTAGTGATAGTGATCCTCCTCCTCCAAAACTGACACCTATGAAAACTGCTGCTACACAAAAGGCATTAGTAAAACCTAGACCTAAAGCAATGGCAACATTAAAGAAGCATTCACCTACCACTAAAACGTCAACATTAACATCGGGAAGTTCTGGTTGGTATAAATATATTATATTCTATATATCTTCTAAAATAATTGGTTATTAAGATAAGAACTTGAAACTTGAATCAATATTATTTAATAAAATAATAAAAAATAAATTTAATTAAAATTAAAAATTATTAAATGGTTAGTACTCTTAAATTTATATGTAAATAAACAAATAGTTTATATATTGAAATAAATAAATAAATAAATGTATTATTATATTTTTAATTTGAAACTGATCGTACTTAACAAATATAATAATAATCCAAGTTAAACGTTTATTTATTTATTATTTCTATAAATAAACTATTTATTTATATATTAATATTATTTAATGGTAAATTATTTAAAATTTTCTGGCTTCATAGTTTTATGAAAAACTAGCTAAATTACCCGGCTTCGTCCATGTATATTTTTTGCTTTCTCTAAATGAAGTGATTAATTCAATAAACATTGTTATATTTTAAAGGAGAAAAAAATGTATTTTACTTAATTTAATCAAGTGCTAAATAGTAGTAGTAGCTGAATTATAAATAATAAAATAATAATAATATTTACAATTGATTCTTTTATCCTTATACATATACGTAAAAGAACAGGCTTTTTTCGTGTTTCAATTTCGTGATGACACTATTTAATATTTTTCCAATTTTTTTTTCGCAGAATTGTGCTTATACTCTTCTGAGTGTCACCATTTCATCTGATTTTTCATTTTTTTTACTTGAAAGGAGGGAGAGGGGATTATATTTTCATATTCCGATTTTGTGACAACATTATTTAAAATTTTTCTAATCCATCCCACTCTCTCCTCCGACAAAAATAATGAAAAATCAGGTGATGTGGTGACACTCAAGAAAGCATTTGTGACAACTCTGAGAAAAAAATTAGAAAAATGTTAAATAGTGTCATTACAAAATTGGAACATAATATATTATATACATTCAAGACATATCAACTATCGGTCTCATTAAATGTATTATTATATTAACTTTAACAAAGAGGTATGATAAACAACATATCTTTAATATCTTTATGATACAGTTTTAACCATAACTATTTAAATATTTATAGCAAATGCACTGACCAAGGTGCATATAAAAATATCATTTTTTATAAATATTTTTCATTTTTGTCACTTTTAATCTCTGTAGGGGTTGAATTTTGAAATATCCTTTCTTAGAAGTTTTTCGCATCATTAAATGAAATTACTGACTTAATTTTAAACTTGTAGCTTCAGTGGTTCCAACTAAACAGTGATGAATCACTCAGGACAAGTAATTTTATGTTTGATTATGTTGAGTGCTGTCATTTAAATTTTTAACACACAGTTGATAGGTTATATACATTTATTTTATTTATCTTTATCAACACATGAATTTGCATCACTTCTAATCATTAGCAAACCCATAGAGAAATTGTAATAGATTAAATACTTTCTTAAGATTGTTATCCTAAATCTTGCTAAATCTTATTAAATTTATATTTCACTTTTACATTTTTGTCATACAACTCCAAATAGTTTTAACATTAAAGGCTTACTCAAAGTATATTTATAAATTTATCAGTAGTACATAACATAAGTTAATTAAATTCTTAAACTATTAATTAGGTGATACTTGTTCATGTGTTGCTTCTTACTTTTAACACTTGAAAGTTTTTCTACTCTAAAAAAGTTAAAAGTCTGGTTGAGAAATAAAATTAATGAAGATTGAATTAGTAATGCGTTGAAGTAGCAAAATTATAGGGCTACACTGTATTCATTAAAATTAAAATTATAATTTTTTTAATCATTGACATTTTTATTATTTAGTAAAATATAAATTAAATTATACACGTGTATTTTCATCATTTTTATATTTATATTTATTTCTACATACAAATCTGTAAAATAAGTATTTTTTTAAATATAAAAGTATATGTATTTATGTCAGTTTGTAAAAATGTATTGAAAACCATTCCAATAAAAACTATTAATAGTTAGGTTCTACCCTATTGAATAAAACTAAATTTTATATTGGATACATCATTACTCTATCTTGATTAATTATTAGATCTGCCACTACTTTTAATGTATGTTTCTTAACTTACTGTTTCATTACCATGTCTTAAAAAAAATCATTCTTTTAATTATCAATAATAGTTGTTCTAATATAAGTAGATAAAAAAAAAATTGGTTAAGATTATGCATTACCAAACCCATACAGATTTATAGATATATTCTTGAATTATTATTGTTAGTTTCGTAGCCTCATGATTTTATGGCTTTTTTCTTTGCCTTATTTTTTATGAATATTTTATGTTAAAAAAGTTTAATACCATTATATTTGTAAATGTTTATTTAGAATCTTCAGATTCAGATTCATCTATAGATAAAAAGGTTAAAAAAACAAACCAAGATAAAAAGAAAATATTGAATAAACCACCACAACCTGCTGTAAAAGTTACTAGTGCAAATGAGTCATCGTCTAGTGGGAAGGTCTCTAGAGGTCGTGGACGGCCTAGAAAATACCCAGTTCCAGAACCAACTAAAAATGGTTCAAATACAAACTCTAATTCAAAATCAGCCCAAGACAAAAAACTTATTACTACTAGAGGATCTACCAGAGTAAGTCGTATATTGGCTGCTAGTCATAGAACTACAACAGCAACAGATTCTGATTCAGATACAGGTATATGTTTTGTTTTTTTTTTTTTTTCTTATAGATATAATAATACAATATGTTTATTTTAGAGAGTAAATCAACAAGTACTAGTTGTAAATCGCCTACTAAAAAAGCACGTGATAAAAATCGTAAACCATTAAATTGTAATGATAAGAGATTGAACAGTGGTGGCCTGGTTGAATTAGAAGAAAGACTATGTCCAGTAAATGGTTGTGATTCATTGGGTCATCTAAATGGTTTATATGAGCGCCATTTCACTTCAGAAGCCTGTCCTATGTATCACAGATTGACAATAAAGCAATGTCAAGTAATACTAATAATAATATGTTTTAAACTAGTCATTGATACAAAATGTGATCTACCATTTACTAATATTCTACTTTTTTTTATGTTTACGGCTTAACTCAGAAAACTATTTAGGATACTTAATTTAACTACATTAACTTTTTTATATACATAAAACAGATTTAATTTATCTATTAAAGTAATAATAAAAATCAATTTTAAGTAAACAAGTAGATCACACATTAAATTATAAATATGAGGTTGGATCTATATTGTACCAATTAATGCCTCACTAAATTATGCTTTGATCTTTATTTATTATTTTTTAGGATAATTTGTCTGAACGACTTAAGAAAAATGAAGAACGTTTAAAGGGAGCATTAAAATCCAGTTCAACTGAACAAAAATTGTATCGTGATAAAGTTAGAGAAATGAGGAATGAAGTAGAAGATAAAAAAAAAAATGACACTAGTAGTAGTGATACTTCCCAAAGTGATATATTCACTGGTAAAGACTTAGAGCCTGATATATTCAACTGTTCTAATATATCATTGTATGATCTTAAGTTGTTTCAAGAAGCTCAAGCAGTAGCCAGTGAGAAAATTGTTAGTATCTTCATTTTGCATTTATTATTAATAAAATTGATTTAGTAATATTTTTATAGTATTACAATTAAAATCTTAAATCATAATTATTTTAACTTAAAAGCCATTCAAACCAAATTATTATTTAAATATAAAAACAACTTAATTTAATACTTACAAACATTTTAAATATTTCATGCACCTATGTAAGATCTCAATTTTTTGCCAACAGATAGTGAACTGAATAACTTATTAAGTAGACCGACTAGGCTAATGGGCCGAATTAAGTACATTTCATTAAAAAATAATAATTAACTAAGTAATTAAAAATTTGTATTTAGAATATTGATTAAAGCTGTTGAACAAAAATATTGAAAATTTGTCATGTAAATTTTAAAATAATATAAAGTAGGTTATAAATATTTAAAAAAATATATAATTATTTTCTTATTTGGTTTATGATATGATTAATAATGTAAAAACTATAAAATATATATTGTTACATTAGCTCAGTGACCAATTCTCTCTATAGAAGCATTTAGTAGAAATAGGTTATTTAATTATATTAGAAATATTATGATAAAACATATAGTTTATTAATAGCTGATTACCAATAATCTATTATAAGAACTATATTTTAAATAAAGTACAAAATCATATTATTTTAATTTCTATATATATATATATATATATATATATATATTATATATATAATATATAATACATCTATTTACAAAGATAAATATTGACTTTATTTTTAGAATATACAAATGTTTCTAAGATTCATGGAGTTTCTCAATTTAAATATTTAAATAAACTTAACATTTAAAAACTTATTTAATTTGATTACACCTATACCTCAAATCCTTATTTTTTTTTTTTTTTGTTACTATTGTACATATGAAGGTCTATTGAAATTCAATCATCTCTTAATATTCTACTAATAAATAAATATTACAATTAAATTACAATTATTATTTAAATATATAAATAAAAGAACAATAATTTGTAAATAATAAATAATTTGTAATAAACAACAACAATAATCTCTATTTAAGTGTTTAATAATAACTAATTTTGACTCTATTATTCAATATTTGTAAAGTATCAGATGATCTTTATGTTGTCAAAACTTCTATTTTAGCTACACAAATATATTTTAGTAACTGAAAAAAAAAATTAATTATAATTCATTAAACTAAATATCATTAATTTAAAATAAAAGTAATTATAAAATATAAAAATATTTCTGGCACAGTTCAACCCATCATGCATTATCATACAATTTTTAAAAATTAATTCTGACTATTGTAGTTGTTTTTTAGTGAATAAATATATGGTTGAACTTCGACAAGTCTAGAAATTAAATTGTTGATAGTTTAAAAGAATATTTTTGCTCTTGCATCTTAATATAGGATTTAAAGGATACATTTTACTAACTTAAAATCATTTGTTATAGTTTCTGATACGAATTATTGAAATATGGTGAGGTATCATAGGACGTTTATATATTATTTGTAGGTATGCAGTAAACCATATGATATCCAATTATAAAAACATGTAGTAAATGCCAATTATGACATTATAACAATACAATTTTACTCAGCATATGAGTTACTATGGCATATAATGATATAGCCTCAGTTATATGTGAGCCTCAATGATCATTGGTATTCATGATTTATCACATAATATGGATCATATGTTTTGATACTTTGTAATTATTAATGATTTTCATTATATTATCATTTAATAAATAGCAAATTTAAGACAAATTTATTTGACAAATATTATAATATACATTTTGAAAACGCATTAAATTATTTAATATAGTTAATGTAACTTTAGTGAATATTTTTAGTCATCTCTTTGAGATACCTTTGAATATGTTATTTTTGTTATTTTATAATGTCATACATAATACTCATTTAAATTTATTTCTGGAATAGTCTTCTTTAAGTTCTGTATTGTTTTTATTATAGAATTTTAATTTCTTTATAACTATTAATGATTTACATTTCACAAAATAAATCCAATCATTTGTAGTATTCAAGTTAGTATGTTCTACCTATTTAATTATTTTAATTTACCTAAAATAATCATAATTCCAGGTCTAAGAATTTTTTTTTTTCTTAGAAATAATTTTTGATGTGTCCTTAAGTTTGACTTAGTAGAATGACAAACATTTTTCTTTTGTTTTTTTTATATTTTTTTAAGTACGTACTCGTATTGTTACTCATTAAAATTTAGATCATGACATTAATTATACTGATAAAAATATACGGAATTTATTATTTTAGTATATACTCAATATTTTTTTAATCTATTACTGATAGTCTTGTTGAAAAAATACAAAAAAGTTCAAAAAAATGTAATTTAATTTATAAAATATATATGTTTTATAAATAAACAATGATATTCTGTATGTACATAATATTTTTTATCTTAAATCAATGTATACTTATTTAAGCTTTATATATAATTACTGCAAATCATTTAATTTTAATACACACAATTTATATAATTAAATTGAAACAAAAATAGATTTGAATTATTGAAAATAACTGATTAAATATAATATAATCTTGTCAATATCATGTTCTATGCAAAAAGTAACCATGTTCACTTTTTAAATTATGATTCTAAAAAAATTAATTTATAAAAAAAAATGTATTAATCATTCATATTCTTGATTTTAAAAATATAAATGTTATGAAAAATGCATATGAATTGTATTTTTCAAAGTGTAATTAAAACTAAAATGTATATTATTAAAAACTATAAAAATACATTTTATTAGTTTTTGCATAACAATGATGATTTAATATTATATTTTGTGTTGTTTCATATTGTTTAGTTGTATTATATTATAATATATTATTTCAGTTCTCATTATTTATTTTTAAACTATGGCTTTTAGTTAATATTTATATGTCAATGCAAATATAGAGTAGCATATTTATGTTATATATAATAAAGTAAAATAAATAAATATATTAATATACCTATTTATAATAATTATTAAATTAAGTTATTATGAATTAGTTCAGTGGTTCTCAAATTTTTTTTGGTCCATGGAGCCCTTATGTTTTCAAAAAAATTTACGGCGCTCCGAAAATCAGGAATTTATATTCAAGACAATAATTATTAATATTTCATATTGAGAAAAACACACAGTTCAAAATTTTATTTTATTTTAAAGTTCAGATTTTGTCATTTGCGGTGAAAACTTTGGTCATTTTATATTGTATTGATAAATTTACTTAATTTAATTATGTGAAAATACCAGCCAAATACCAGTCACAGTAACCAAATCTTAGTTGTAAATAAAATTGGTGCTACTAAAACGTATAACTCGTTACGTAATTCAGGTATTCGTACCAGTTTTTTTCCTCAATAACTAAGAAATATAATAATATTTAAATTTAGTTAATTTTTATGTGTTCATGCAGCCCTAGGGTTCCGCGGAGCACAGTTTGAGAACCGCTGAATTAGTTGAAATGTTTATACTGTTAAATTATTTGAAATATTAAGTTAAATCTTAAATCAGGGTTTGTGAATGGTAGATGTTAAAAAGGTTTCTAGATAATTTATTTGAAATACAAAGGAGTGGTTTATCAAAAAGAGTAATGTTTTAATGTTTTAGTAATAATGTATGAGTATAATTATGGGTATTTCTTTGGAAGTTTTTATTGTGTTAGGGGTTTGAGTTTATTTTGTTTAGATTTTAATCTTAATAATACATCTGAAATTTCTAAAAATATTTGTATAAATATTATTGATTTAAATTATTGTAGAGTGGTGGTGTTAAGTTTTCTGTATACAGCCCATAAAGCCATTACAAATAATTATTGGATAAATTAAATTAAAATTATTTTAAACCTAGAATTTTGTTTAAAATTTTATAGTGAATTCTAGAATGTGTTGTGAAAATGTATAATAAGTGTTTTCTTAATATGATTGTCAGGATATACATTATAACTTGTGAAAAAATTTGTATTTAAAATAATTAATTTGTTATTTTTATTGTAAGATATTAAGCCTTCGTGTAATTTAATTATTATTATTATTTTTTTTTTTTTATAGGAAGAAGATTTGAAGCAATTGCCAAATTTTAAAGGTACTAAATATTTAGAAATGGGAAAATATGAAATGGAAGTTTGGTATCAAAGTCCATATCCTGAAGAATATACACAAGTACCCAAATTATATTTGTGTGAATTTTGTTTACATTATATGAAGAGTAAAACAGTACTATTTAGACATAAACTTAAATGTGTTTGGAAACATCCACCTGGTGATGAAGTTTATCGGTAAGATATTAAAATACTCAATATTCAATAAGTAGTGTAAGTTATATTTTATTATAATTTAAAGCATTTATATTCCTGTATATTTATTTTTTTATTAATATTTATATTTATTTAATTGAAAATATTTACTCAATTTTATACAGCTCATTAAATATTTAAAATATAAGTACATTTGTTTATGATTTATACAAGCATATATATATATATATATATATTTTAGGAAAGATCGTATTTCTGTCTGGGAAGTAGATGGAAAGCGATTTAAAATCTTCTGTCAGAATTTATGTCTGTTGGCAAAGTTTTTTTTGGATCATAAAACTCTTTATTATGATGTTGAGCCATTTTTGTTTTACATAATGACAACTCAGGATGAAGATGGATGCCACATTGTTGGTTATTTCAGTAAGGTAAGTGACTAATGTATTAATTGAAATTCATAAGAAATTTTAATAATGATAACAATGTTTTTTTTTAAATATATCTTAAATTATATCAACAAAATAGTTATAGTTTATATCAAGTTTTATTTAAGAAACTTTTATTTATGTTTATGCATTTGTGAATTTATTAATTCAAATTCATTCATATTAAGAATAATTAAATCAGGGTGTAAGTAGCATTATACACTATAAGTTGGTTCAACAATTTAATGAATTAATTTAATTAGTTTCTCTATTATAAATAATGGAATAAAAACAATAAAGTTAAATATTTTATACTACCATTTTTAGAAATAGTTTTTAGTAACCTTTTATTTTACCAAAAATGTTTTAAAGTTTTATTATATTTATAAAACATACTTAAAATAATAATGAATTAGAATTTTTGAAAATAATAAAAATATACTATATAGTGATTGATATATTAATATTATATTATAATGATGTGTTTATAAGTTAGTTTCAGTATAAAATTATATTTAGACTAATGTCTAACAATTCATCTTTTATAAGATTATATTTTTTATTTTTAAAATAATGATGGTTAGATTTTTTAAAAGTATTTAACCTTTCAATAACAAAAAAATATGTGAGCTTTTAATATAATCTCATAAATGAATACAATTCTTTAATTTGAGAGAAACTCTTAATTTATAGAAATTTTAGAGAAATAGCATTTTACTATGATGTTACCTTCCTTAGTTTTGTATTAAGTTTTAATTTATTATATGGGTATCCCTCAAATTTATAAAATTTTAGTGCTATACAATACAAATAATTATTAATGTTGATTTTATGACTTGAAACTAATAAATTAGTGGAATGTTTACCATAATATGCATAAACATTTTTATTTTAAGCTATAATAATGTACTTACAAGTTTACTTGCAATTATTATTTGCATATTAACATTTTCACTTTATGTACTTAATTTAATTTTTTAAATACAAATATTGAAGGAAATTTTATTAATACTATTCTAAGAATGAATATAAGTTAAAAGGGCAGGTATTATAATTTTTTATAATAGATACTACTAGAGCGGTGCATTCAGCATTATAAAATCTTATCAAATGCATTAAATTTATAAGTAATAATAATTGTATTATTGTTTATGAATATTTATTATGCTATTATAACTTATTATGATATAATAAAAATGTGTACCCATTTTTCTTTTGATAGAGTTAAAAGTAGTAACATCAATAGAGTTCTCAGTCCAGCAGCCGTTTAATTTGCCATTTTTTGTTATTCTGCCTACTATCTAATTTATTATGTATCATGTATGAGTATGATAATGTTTTAGGGATCTATATTATTTAAAATGTGGAGTTAATAAATAATTGTATTTAAATATGATAGTAGCTAAGTATTTGTCAATTATAATTATAAGTATCTGCAAAGGAGTTAACATTTAATCATTTTGCCAGACAATTAATCTTCCATTGAATTATACATTTTCAATTCAGTCGGTATTTAGTTATTTATTTAGTATTTATTTTTTTACAAACATTACTCTGCCTAGTGCTGTATAATACTCATATTTATAGAAAATCAAAATAAATGGTTTATATTAGTACGTAAAACTTAAGACATTTTACGATCTATCTTGTAAATTATATTCAATGCTATTACAATTTTTTATTATAATTATCATAGTAATAATTAAATGATGTGTAAAATCAATATTTTTATTTTAAAAATATTAAGACTGTTAAAAATGACTTGTTCCAAATAAGAATCTGATATAAGTCTATTTTTTCTAATTAATAATTTATATATGATTGATATGTAACTTTTTAGAGCACTTGTAATTGTGTTTTCTAAATGATAGATAACACATTTTTTGTGGAAACGTATGTCTTGTCGTGATATTTACAGTCAGAATTCTTCATAAAAATGGATGATTATTATGTATACATTCTTGTATTATTTCATAAATATTAATAATTCATAGGTACATGTAAGTAAAATAAAATAATTTGGTCATTATCATTCTTAGCGTTTCTTTTGAAAGAATTGGAAAAGTTGTGCCGAAATATTAAAAAAATATATTGGTTACCTATTCTGTTGTTTCCAAGTTGAGCAGCATATTGCAGCATGCATGTAGATTATATAGTCGTATTGTTGAATATTTATGTAAATGCTATTGCAGTAATATTCATGGTCAAATTATGGCAGTTTTCGTTTTTTTTTTTTTTAAATATTATTGCCGCAAGCGTCGTAGGGCGTTTGGTTTATTGAAAATAACTGTTTCCTCCCACGGAAACATATATCGACGCGTCGTTGCACCGGTCGGTATTGTTCGCGTATTGTCGAAAGTGCACTTCGCTGCACTGTAGTATAATATGGTATAATACTATATATCGCAAAGGAGATGAGTGCTGTAAAGTATAATATTGGCACCCTCATTATAACATAAAAACGAAAACACTATAATCTAAAAAGCCGTGTATAAAACAAGGGAGTGCAGCAATGGTCTCTCGTTTGACGAGACATTCAGCGTTCCCCTACTGGAATCTCTACACAAATGTGTGTATATATTTTTTCGTTATAATCAGGGCTTGGATTTTGTAGCACTGAAAAGTCCTGAAATATACGCTATTTTATGACTTAAAAATCTAATATAAGCGCTATATGTGCCCTTAAAATATGAAAAATAGCGACGGTTAAAAACTGTAGCATTGAAATTGTTTATGAACTTTTAAATGTATTGAAAAATGATACGGAAATATTTGGGTTTTCCTATTCTAGCACTTATATTTTTTTTACAATTTTAATTTTAAAACGATATTTATGAAACCTCTAATCGGATCAAATCAAATGTATCAATACGATAAACAGTAGTATAAAAGTTCCAAAGATATGTAAACGTATGCTGTATAGCATTTTCGTTTTAAAATCCTTGTTGCGTACAACTAGCTTAGCTTTTCATAAGTGTTCTAGAATGATTAGCAAAAACTTAAAAGCCCAATACCACTGAAACCAAGCCCCGGTGTTGTATTCAGTGGCGTGCGCAGGGAAGATGATGGGAGATATATCTCCCCCATGAGCTTTTATTTTCTTTGTCTTAAACGTTTAAAAACGTATTTAAGAAATACGACGGGTTAGTCACGGTTAAATGGATAGGCGTTAATGAATATACATCGAGACATTCCATTATCTTCAGATCAAATAATTGACGAATTTAGTGTACAAGTCAGAAGGATGAATTTCCGCCTTGATTGCATTTTTTAATGTGTAATAATAAAGAATAAAGATAGAAAATAATACCTTTTCATTTATGACATCCCCCCCCACATAACAAATTTTTGCACACGCCACTGACTGTAATGCACTTTTATGATGCGATACGTTATGTAAATATCGTCGTATAAATGCGTAGAATCGTGTGTTACACGCACCGCGCAAAGTGTTGCCCCGTCGCAGACCGCAGCCAATGGTTTTTCCGTTTCCTCCACCCACTCTAGCGGCCGTCGCGATCAGCCGATCTGTTCCGCCCGTCGACGTACCCGTGCCACAGTGGCGGGTGGAGGCGGCCGCGTGTCTGGCCACTATCGTGCGTAGGCATATACACCCGTCGACGGCGGCAGTGGTTGCGTGTCTGCCCGTTCACCACCCCCACACTGCACACCACACCGAACTCAGCCTGGGGTTGTCCCAGGTCATGGACCCAGCGCGAGTTCGTTCTGCAACCCCAGACGGCTCTTGTTATAATATTTTATTGGCACTGCGTTTTGTATGCACTCAATGTATAAACACGTCGTTTTGTTTAGCGCCTACCTGACGTATGATATCCGTACACGCAGGACCGTAGCAATCAAATATTGCGCCCGGGACGAAACTTCAAAAGACGATCTTAAGTATTTTCATTTATAAAAAAATACTGAATATTTTTTATAGATGTAATATAATGATTTTTCCTTATAATTATGTAAGCGTTATTTAATTTTATTTAAATCAATAACTTATTAAAATATAAATATACAAAATAATTATAAGTAGATTCATAAGTATAACATTAAAATATTTATAAGTTGTATAAGTAAAATTACATAAATATATCATATTGCTTTTACTTATAAGTAACAATTCAATTGCAAATTTTTCATTTTTGCGGCCTCCCGGGAATTGCGCCCGGGGCGTAGGCACCTCTATACCCCCTTCGTACGTATCCGTTTGCGGAATTTTTCTTTTTTCTTTAATTCGTCCCTCTGTTTCAGTGACGAATCCAGGATTTTCTTTAAGTGGGGGGGGGGGGGGTTGAAATATGTTTTCCTTTGGGATATTTTTTATAACATTACAGTCAGTGATTGATAATGAACTAAGATAATATTAAGTAATATAATACGTTAGGTAATTTAAATCTAAGACTACTAATTTCTTGTATGAATAAGAATACAAATTATATACTTTCCCTCATACTTAAAAAAAAATATATATTTTTCTTAATTTATAAAATTATTGATTTATAATATATATTTTTCCTGATTTTTTTTTTTTTTTGGGGGGGGGGGGGGGTTAATCCTCTTGTGGATCAGCCACTACTATGCTTCATCAGAGAACTCCAACAAAACATAGACGTTGTTTGGCGATTCATTAAATTTTATACATTGTAACGCCTGTGCCTATTAACTAGCTCAATGAAGAAATATAATAATTATGTGTAACATTAAAAATAATACTTTTACATTATTAGATTTTTGTCGTAAATTAATGTATTTGTAGTAACGCATGTCTATAAGTAATTGAATATTAATTATTATTTTGTAACTAAATCTTAAATTTCTATCTGCAGTTGCTGAACACATCCGATGTGGGTTTTAATTTCTTTTTCTTGTATTTTATCATTGTAATAATATAATTTTTGATTCGCAAAATGTCTCATTTCTTAATATTAAAATATTGTTAATTTTTTTTGAAGTATCAATAAACATTTTATTTGAAAATATAATTTTTTAATTTG